CGCTATCGCTAGAAACATTCTATTGCACGCTATGGATCACAAACGCGAATCGAAATATTGCACAACTTCTCGCTCTTCGTAAAATATGGAATTGCACGTAACGCTGAAATGTGAATTTACCATACGATAAATTTAACAAATGCTCTCAATATAGAAATTAATTATTATTAATATACATTGTTCTATGTATTCATTGCGCGCTCGTCTATATGTGCGTACATACAAATGTATGATTGATCAGCTTTAAATTCTTATATTTCAAAAACCGCTCTCTCAAATAGAAATTGCAACAATTTTCCAAAACCTTGCAATTTTTTGTTATATATATATATATATTTTGATTCGCAAATTTTAAGACACTGTGTGTATGTATGTGACATATACAAGTATAAATAACGCAAAGTATTCACACCATTACCTTCTGTGGTGGAGAATTGTCCGAATTTCTGATATAAATTGATAACTTCGCGAACAATAGGGTCTAAAGCGTTTTCGTGTTCACTATTCGTGATCGAGTAACAATGTATAAAAGCGCTTCGGTGAAAATGAAATACGCCTGTACACCAGGATACCGAGAGTGCACGCATCCATCCGGGATGTTAGTGCATGCATATGGAAATGCACCTCTCGGCATTCGCCCGTGTACATTTATATATTACCGCATTAGTTTGCGGTCAATTGCCGGACGATAAAATTGTGTACTAATCAGAAATGCAGATTCAATCAGAAAAAAGTACAAGCAACAATTCGTCTAAAACAAAATTAATTGAAATTAAAATTGAAGAACCTTACAAACCGATAAAAAAAACTATTGATAAATTATAAAAACCCAAGTAAAAAAAATTACGATTACAAATACTTCCACGCACTGCTTTTTAATTGAATCGCGAAATTTCTTTTACAAAAGATAAAAAATAATCTAATACTCATTACGACCACTTTAAGTTGTGGTTATAATTGTGGTTAACAAAAAATGATAAAAGTCACATGTCGTGTAAGAAAAAATTAATTGCTAACAATTTAGTATATTTTCAATTGACTGCAAAGATGTTTTATACCACTTGCAAAATAATGAACGTAAAGGATAAACTCTTCTTAAGAATCTCGTTGCGGTTGTACCTACTGTTTGTGAGTCGCAGTGAGACCGAAGTTAATCGTAGACAAAACGAGATCGAATTTCGAAAAACGATACCTGTCGACGAATTGCGAACGCTCGTGCAATTACGCGCTAGTTTCAGCGCGATTTATCGTCTGTACGTCGAGCGAAAGCAAACAAGGCGTTACGCACCACATGCGTGTTACCGAGTTCCAAAACTTATTAGCATACGTAATGGATGCGGGATCGCGAAAAAAATGGGTTGGAATCAAAAAATTCGTAAAATTCCCAACTGGATCAATTTACTGGGTATCCGGGAATGGGCAAATTGCTCTCCCGTATCGGCCGTTACTGCGGGGCACGTTTTATCCGCCCGATCGCACCACAAACATTTCAGATTGCGTGTGTTCCATTGATTCGTAACCCGATTCCGATGAAAAATAACGAGTTAACAGGGAAGCATTGATCTTGTAATATAAGAATCATAATCATAAAAATCATAATGACTGATAATCATAGCTAACTTTTATCGCGCACAAGAGATTTATTCGCGCATATCAATGAGGATACAAAAAGCGAAACGTGAAGAAAATCAACGTCGTCGATAATGGACTCATTTTCAATATTTTTTAATTATTCAAAAAAAATTAAATAAAAATTATAAAAGTAATATAAAAAATATCTACACTTGCGAGAGAGTTGTTATAATAATGAGTAATGCAAAGAGATTCGTCCAATAATTATTTTAGACATTTGAATATTAATTATTTTTAGGCAAAGAAAATTTAATTAAAAAAAATATATTTCAAGAATTATTTTATCGAAAAATATCAAGTTATTATATTAGATTTTCGCTTCTGCTATCGTTTGTTTTGCGAACGTTTAGCGATGACGATGCTCTTTCATCTCTTCCGTCGCGTGTCACAAGAGGATTTTCTTTCGCGTTCAATCTCGCAGCCTCCGATCTTATCGACCCGATGACCGCAAACAGAGAGGCGCTTAAGAAAAGCGACTCGTCGAATGGTATCGTAAAGAAAGCACGTTGCCCTTTTCCACGTGTCACGTTATTTCGGCGAGCTTTAAGGACAGAACTCGATGGAGACGGTAGGGTGCTTTGAGCTTACAAGTCCGTCGTTTGTGCAGTCGAAGCCGGACAGAGGAGAGAAACTGCTATGACAGTAGGGAACAGTGAAGCGGAATTTGGGAAATGGAGTCCGCCTGGAGCAGGCCATGGAAGGAACCAATGTACCGTGAGAAAGCGAATCCAGTTGAAACGACAGAAACGCCGATGCTGATTCCGAAGCGAAACGACAGCAGGCAATGTGAAACACACACGGAAAACGTGGATCGTCAAGGTCCGCGAGGGTCTACGTAAATGTACTTCCTTCTCTTTTATTTTAGTCGTGTTATCGATTTCAAAGTAATAAAGGTGGAAATATTGGTAGAAAAAATATTCTCCAGTTTCCAAGGATGAAAGTAGAAGACTAGCAGAAAGTGGCGTAATTAAAGGAAGAATGATAGAATAATTGAAAAAGCAGTAAAGACAAGGAATGCAAAAAGAGAAGTGATATTATAAAATAACACGTAATAATGGATTCTTTGACGAATTTAGAGCTTATTTTTAATTGTTATGTCAAGGTACCAGTAATTCTTGCTTCGGAAAAAGAAACGAAAAGAAGAATTGAGTCGTTCTTTCTTTTATTTTCCCAAAAGTTTACTTATCTCGGTTCTGAAATAGCGGATCCTATTTCTCCAGTGTGGAATATTCCAGAAAAGCCGCGCGGGAAAATTTAATAAATCCTCCACGTCCCAATTCCGTCGGATCGCAGTTGAGTTTGCGTTAAGTTTGTCTCGCACGATCTCTCACTCTCTCTCTCTTTCTCTCTGTTTCTCTCCTCGGACGCGCTTTCGACCCTCGTCCGCTAATAGCGACAAGTTACTTCTGACCCGTCAGCGGAACAGACCCTTGCGACGCCTCTATATTTAGCCCGGGTCGAACCACTAGAAGCAGCGAGAAAACACAAAAGAAAGCAAGCGAATATGCGGCGCGACGCGACGAGACGCGAGCGAAGGAGCAGTCTTGACGGCGATATCTCGACGTCGAAAGAAATCGGATTATGTTCTCCGAGGGCATAGATTCCGTGACTTCTGGCTCGCAGCTGCGCCACAGAAATCGTAATGATCGAAAAAAGAAAAAAAAAAACGAGCCTTCTCTAAGAAAACACTGCCACGCTATCTCCACGCATCGACACTTACAGAGACAAAAAGTCAAGAGACGTAAATCCTTTGATGTGTTTGGTTTTTCTGTAACAACGTACCGAAATATCAACACCTTCGAAGTTATAAGAAAATGTATAAAAATAAGAGTTTTCACTGAATAAATATTCGACACGCGCAAGCCAATAATAAAATCTTATTCTGCATTTGGCTTCAAGAGTAGATTTTAATTTGTGGACAAAATTTTAATTTACGATTTAATTAGAAAGACCAACATTAAAACTCAAAGAGTACCGTCATTCTAATTAAAACGTCAAATTGAGCAAAGTGTTCTCAGATGACGGCTACGTTGTTGAGTGCAACGCAGACTCATGATTATGCAGGATAATGGTTACATTCATACTTTGTTGTTCCGCGAATGAGAATTGACAGTAATAAGGTCCGCATTTTACATTATAATCAGACGATAAAAAGATCGCAAACTTATGAAAACGAGCTGAACGCGACACGCGAGCATATTTAACAATTCATGGAATGTTTTTGTTCCTATTTCTGGAGTTTAATTTCTGCGCGAAACCTTCGCCGGCAAAGGATTTCGAAATAGAACGTATATTCATTTGCAAAACTCAATAATTCGCATTACGTTAAATTACTTAGTTTCACACTTCATATTATAAACTCATTTATGATAATTTCCAGAGCAGACTTTTATCAATATTTTCTGTCGCAAAAACATCCAGAAACATTAAAGTCTCTGTTATATCTATTAATCAAATATTTCTTTTTTTCTCAACGATAATGATTAAAAAGCTACTTTTTTTAAGAAAGTTTTTTCCATTTTATCAAAGTTGCTTTGTACGTCAAACGCATTTATGTTACAGTTTATGTATACAGTATACATGTGCGTTCATTTTCGTATCTCCGTGATGACGCTTAATCATAAATTGTGCACTCTATTTTGCCGTTCGGCCAACCGTGATTGATAACAATCAAATAACAGCGAGCAGCAGCTACGAAAATTTAACTTTGTGTCAAACTATGAAATAATGTCATCCTTAATATTTTCAGTTTTACTAAAATATATACTATTTACTAAAATATAGTAAAATAAATTATAAATATACTGTTCTATATTATTTTTCACTTATACGTAAATAATTACTTGAAGAATATATTACTTTCTTCAAGTTGTTTGCGTGCAATCAATTGTAAACCTAGGAACTTGACTTTTAAAATTATTAAACTATCGTGGTCTTTAATAATCTTGATGAATCGCAATATAGTGCACGGTGGAGCGTTAAGGATTTTTCATCTTTAGTTAATTGATATTGTGTGTAGGAACGCGTTTTCCGTTAGCCGTCAGTATATTATACTTTCGATCATGTTATTATTTTAGTAGGATCATCGATCGAACTCAAGGTTCGATCGAGTAGAAAGTCATGATCGAGTAATTTAAACGTGCGAAAGTGAGAAAGATATAATCCGAAAAGTAAATAACTAACAATAAGTAGACATCGCACACAGTTGCGTGATTGTTATTTCAAAATACTTCTTCTGTAATCAATCGCTTCTTTCTTTAATTAAATGAAACCAAAAGAAATTCTTGATTATTATTTGTCTAATCGATTCACATCCTGCCGACCCCACAATATCACTTATCTATTTGTGACTTATTTAATAGACTCACCCAGCGTCGTCGAAAGGAGCATCAAACAAACCGCCAAGCCGCTCATCTTCGCTGATGGATCTGTTGTCTCGCACACCACTATTTCGCTTCAATCTTGCGTATTGACGATCCTTCAGACTTCCCGCCGTTTTATGCTTTGTCAGTCCGAGTTAGCACTAAGAAGCGAAACGAGATTTTCCTAGTCTTTCTCTGTTTTTTTTGTTAATTACTATTTGACTCGCTTCTTTCTCTCTATTGGCTTTACATTAGATGAAGAATGTATAAATCGTTAAATAAAAAGAAAAGTTTAAATACAAAAGATTATTCTACAATTATTTTAGTGCAAAATCAAACTTTAGTTTTACACTTTATAACTAAAATATGTTTCCCTACAAAGTTATTTATGACAAAAATTTAAACTCTTTCCATTATAGAATCATGAAGCGGTGCGATAAAAGAGAGCTTAATTAATTTTTCGCAAAGCTTGTTTTTCAAAATTACATAAAATATGACTTTATACCGCTGTCGTATCCAATAGCTTATCTCCCAACGTCAGAGAAATGCAGCAGCGCAGAGCACACGATGTCAAGTAGCATGAGGATGCTGTGACGCCGGGGATGTCGTTTTACGTTGCACGCCACGCACCAGGACCAGTTCGAGGACCGAGTTGGACTGAATACAAGTCCCTGTTCCGTGTTCCACGATCTCCCTGCGACTTCTCAGCCCTACCATAGCGTGCTGAACATATGGTATACAATGCTTATTACTCATTTATCGTAAACCAAGCTTCAAAATTCGTCGAAAAAAATTGATTTTCTTCCCAGTATTTTTTTTTAATCACTCATTTTTCAATTATATATAGTAGCTAAAATAGTATAAAAACCAATTGCTATAAATACCAATAGTAGACAATTTCGATTATATACCGATTATACATTTGACGTGTAATATAAGTATAATTAAAATGTTTAATACTGCAGTTTTTTAAGAGTATCATCCTAATGATATATTATTGCAATTAAAATTATTTTGATATTTAGGTTCTATTAAATTGTAAAATATCAAAATGATATTTGTTTTTGGCGCTAATTTTGCGTCCGTCACTAATCGGCAAATTTCAGAAACGCCGGAATAGGAACACCGAAATTGAGAAAATTTCGTAGCGTGTTCCTAGCAACCGTCAAGAACCGTACGCACGTACCCTGTTGCATGGCGAACGAAATCGAATGAGATAAATAATAATTGTAAGTTAGATTTTAAGACCGCGTGAGTAGAAATAGTATCCTACTATTTCAAAGGCAAAAACACTAGTCAGTATCCCCTTTTTTGTTTCTTTCTCTTTTTCTAATGTTAAATTCGCTGTATATTTCTACTTTTGATAATGCATTTTGCAAGTTTGTATTTTGGTATACTTTTATATATTTTTAAGACGTTTAAATATACATTAAAATTTAAAAGTTTAACTATGGCTGTGGTTTACTTGACGCTACAAATGCTTCGAAGCGTTCTTTCTCTCCTTCTCTCTTCAAAAGGAAAGAGAAGAAGAACGTTTCGAAGTATTTGTAGCGTCAAGTGGACCGTAACCAATGACACACAAATTGCCTAATAATTTCAAAACGTTATGGGCCTACAACGTTCAATCTTTTGTTAATTATTACCTGAAAAATAGCTTCTGGAACAGTAAAGCGATGAAACACGTATGTTATAACGAATTCGTCCATACTGGTGCGGACTGAGTGCGCCCTCTTTTAGTTGATCTTGTCCTCGACTGATTTACGGCGCTAAATGTATTCGGTTCAAAATGCATTATGCTTCTGTGGATAAAAACATGTTAATAATAAACATATAACATGTTAATATGTTATTAATCGTATAAGGGTACTCGTTTCCCAGCGCATATCGATCAAACGATATAAACACATCTGAAAGCATCTAAAAATATCTAAAAATGGAGTCTTTTAGACGACTTTTAGTAAGACATAGTAAAATTATCGACAGTAAAATTATCGACAATTTGATTATCGACTGTAGAGTTATCGACAGCTTAATTATCGACAATTTGGTTATCGACAGTAAAAATATTGACAATCTTTTTTCGATAAAAGTAAGATCTAAATTATCATAGGCTGAATAGGGTTTGTGTCTCAGCTGTAACTGATTCTTTTTGCGACTGAATGGAACGTGAATCTCTAAGTGTGGTTTAATCATGATATACTATCGCTAAATGACGCTACCGAGGGTCCATTATTTTTTATTAAGCATTATTTCTTACTACACATATTGTGTTAATGCGCCTTATGTACTTGTAAGAACCGTATGATCTAGATAAATTTACATAACCTCAAAATATTTTTATAAAAAAAATCGAATCATGACGTGCTGATATAAATTTAGACACGTAATTGATCGATTTCTTATGCATACGCATTATATGGTTATGCAAATTTGCCTGGATATACTTTAAGAGTATACAAATTGTTTGATTTATTTATACGTGGTTGTGTAGTGATGTAGTCATTTAGCTTTAGATAATCGATTGTCCATTGTGTAACATGACACATGTAGATATTAAGAATTCTAATAGTTTAAAACAAGTGCTTTTTTAATAACATATGTCAACACAATAATGAGTATCCAAGCATATCAATCATTAAACTGTTGTAATTGTGGACATTGAACTTAGATTGCTTAACACGTAAATATTGACACAAATGATATCTCTATGTGCACTCTGTGACAAAATACAATACTATTTCATGACGTGGACTTTATATATGTTTGTAAAAATCCACTTGTTACACAAAAATACTTATATACAATTGCTAATGATTACATAGCATGATCACAATATTAACATAAGATACTCAATTTAAAAATATATATACTTATACTGCACAAGAATTATATTTTTAAAATGTACAAAATAATATTACATATGAAATATATGTACTTATTTATTGTTATAACCAATAATGTAATAGTAAAATGCGATTCCTAATAAAATGTTAATTTTTAATGGAAATTAAATTAAAATCAAATGGAATTATTTAATATATGTATACAGGTCGGATATTGCAATTTTCTCTAATTGGCTATGTGCTACCACTACTTATCAGTATGAGTATATATAAGCATGTGAACTCCGTTTCTTCTTCAGTTATTCTAGGACATCCATTGGTGTTAGATTGAATGTACTTTATAAGTTTCCATATTTTTGTTGTTATACTATATTTTGCTATATACAAAACTTTGTCCTTATAGATTTCTTAATATTTTATTCATTTATAAATAGTACCAACAAATTTTATGTTTAATTTATAATCTTTTTTAGAGAAAATATGCTCGAAGTTTAAAAATTAAATTATCTATTTTATACTTTAAGTTTAAATTTTATTTGATTAATATTTAGATAAGGGACTTCTTATCACATATAGCGTTAAGCTATGAATGAAGAACATCTTAACATTACAATAGATGAAAATGAAATTATTGATGGTGCCAAAGATATTATAAAGAGGATTAGACCGTCCTGGCCTTTTCAGCAACTGCATTTCAAGGTAATCAACATCTTTTTTTTTATTATAATAATAATAAATTAAAAAACATATCTTGTTTCTGTTATTAAAAGATCATCATATTCACAACATTCTTATCAATACTCATAATTGATCCACTGACAACTATTTTTACATTCTCTTTAATGTGTCAATAGGTCACATAATTTTATTTTTTTGTAAGATATTTATATTTTTATATTAATTCATATTGATAATCCATTTATATAAAGGTGGATATACTTTAACAAGATTAATGTTATAAATATGTAATAATTTATACATATGCAAGTAGTAGTGAATATTCTGTTGCAATAAGTAGTAGATAATTAAATAATCTATCAAAATGTTTTTTTAATGAATCAAAAATGATTAAGAAATGCTAAAATTTCTGAATTCTAAAAAATTCTAAAAATTTTAAACTATTCTAAAAAATTTAGATTAAAATTATTATACATTAAAATGTTAGATTAATCATAAAAATATTTATGTATTTAAATAAAAAATTAAAATTTATTACAAAAACTATTGCAAAAAGGCCAATAATCTTAACGATTAACGTTTGCATTTAATTAAAAATAATTACTATATAGATATATAAATGCTCCTTTTTTTACATCTATGCAATTTTTTTAAATTTAGTGTTAAAAAAATTGTCAATTATACATAATTCTATTGCAACTGTTAATAACAAATATGTAACTCAATACAAAATAGTAGAATAATAACTTATTTTTTCTTTTGTTTCAGATATTTACGGATGGAAGAACAAATAAATTAGTAGGTGTATGGTACTCAGGACATTATACAGATATGATCCTGATCAGAGTTTATGGCAATAATTCTGATTTACTGATTGACAGAAAAAGTGAAATAGAAAATATCCGGGTAAAGATTTTATCGGTTTTACATCATCATCATCATCATCATCGTATTCACACGATATTTCAGTTGTGATTAATTTAGCTGCTAAAATCTACATGTATTTATTTCATCAGAAATATAACAAATTCAATTATACACAAAAATAATCACTGTATACAATAAATATGTTTGTATAGATATTGAACAAGGCTGGCTATACTCATTGCATTTATGCTACATTCAATAATGGGTTTGCCTATCAATTTCTGGAAGGCGAAACCCTGACTACTGAAACAGTTAAAGACCCAAGTGTGTATCCATTAATTGCGAGACGAATGGCTAAAATGCATTGTCTTCAACTTGAAAATAAGACAAAAGAGGCTTTTCTTTGGGAAAAAACAAAAAAATTTATGCAAATTATGCCTAAAAGATTTTCCGATTCTCTCAAACAAGCAAAGTGAGTAAATATTACAATAGATTTCCTGGGTATTATTCAAAATATGTTCAGATAGTTCAGTTCTTGTAACAGCTTCCACTTTAAGGTTTGAAATGTTAATACCACCATACGCAGTGTTGGAGAAAGAGTATCAGATAATGAAAGAAACACTTTCACGAGTAAATAGCCCTGTGGTGTTTGCTCACAATGATCTTTTATTAGGAAATGTATTGTACAATCAGAAGGAAGAAAGTGTCATTTTTATCGATTATGAATACACTGCACTCAATTATCAAGCATTTGATATAGTTAATCACTTTACGGAATTTGCTGGTAATTAAAAATTCTTTCAAAAAATGTCATATTTCTTTGTTGCAAGAGAGTATATTAAGTTAGAAAGTATAATTTATTTATTCCATAATGTCTTTATTGAACATATATATTACCTTTGTTAAATAAAGTTTTAAACATCACTTTTAAGGTTTTGATGAGCCAGATTATTCTTTGTACCCGGATGAAAATTTCCAAAAAGCATGGTTAAAAGAATATTTACAAGGATATAACTCAGTGAGTAACGTATCCGAAGAAGAAGTTAATAAGTTATATTGGCAGGTTACTAAATTTACTCCCATGCCGCACTTTTTTTGGGCCTGTTGGGCCCTCATACAGAGTGAGCATTCTCACATCGACTTTGACTTTTTGGAGTAAGTAAATGATTATAAAAATTCTTTACAATATCAAAACTGATAACTGTAAATTATTTTTATAACGAATACTGACATTATTTTTGCAGGTATGCTGCAATACGTTTCAATGAATATTTCAAGTGGAAGGAAGAAACTTCTAAATTGGAAATGAAATATGATTAATGAAAGAAGCATTTTTCGAAATATTCATTCCAGTGGAAGCATTTTATTGCTTAAAGTATATATTAGCTTAAATAGGCAATTGTCATATAGACATGTATAGAGATGCTATTTATAAATGTAATATTTATATTTATGTAAATGACTATTATATATATATATATATATAATACTATTATATCACATTGGTGTTGGAAATGTATATAAAATATAGATTTGGCTTTATGTTTATAAATCTAGTATATTATTATAAAGTATTGACAAAAAACACAAGACTATGGCCCAATTAGCTCTAGTTAATTAAATCTTTTACTTATATTAATATAATCAATCTACACAAAGAGACAATAAATTGCCAATAAGGCAATTAACTCAGATCATTGACACAATTGTCCTTGATATAATATCAGTAATATAGTTTACTATCTTTTATCTCATATTATTTATTATCAAATTATAATCTATCGATGTCATGCATCAATAATTCAACGCAATTCTCTGTCATTTGAATATAAAGAGATGAACGTAATCCTTATTCAAATGTTTTAAAAGTAGTGATATAAGCTGTGCTAGCTTAGTGCAGCCCCAATAATGCACTGCAAACGTTCTCTCTTTTGTCAAGATAAATATTCAATTCACAAGCACGATAATCGCCAAAGATAGGCGATAACACTTTTAATGAAATTCGCAAATATCGCTCGTCAAGGCTATGTAACCTTGTCAAGTCGATGCATTGCATTCTAAGTCTGTTCGTTTCAATTACATCTTACACTGCGTATATTTAAATTGTATAAAATTACAGTCTGAAGAATAAAAGCTTGGAACGAGAAACAAAAAACAGAAATATTCGAGCGATAATTATTAATTTAAAAAATCTAAAATTATAGGAACGAAAAAGAAAAAAAATAAAATGCAGAAAGTGCAGCTGAAGCAAACAGATTTAATCATTGCGCGTCTTCGATTAATAATCATTAATAATTTAATCGATCAACTGACTAGCGAGTGTTTTTTGCTCGTCTCTTCTGTGATCGCCGCGCGCATCCGTAAATCGCGTTTATTTTTAGTCGCTCGGAGCTGTCGAAATTTTCATAAGTGCTCATCGTGCGCGTTGCTCTTTCCCTCACCCTTCCCATCCCCCTTCCATTTGCTCACTTCGTTACATGTATACCAACGAATTGACCGGCTGTGAGCGATCGCGCGACACTCGCGCAGGCATTCCGATGTGTATCGGCTCTCTAGTTCGATGTAAACATCGGTAAACACTCGACGTGAAAACCGAAACGTAAACATCGTAAACAACGGTGACACGCTTATTCTCGCAATCCGCATGTTCTAGTGTATTTCTACGAGATTCTTCTGTCTCTTCGCGCAATAACAGATCGCAAACTCAATGTTCGAGCTGAATAATACGGCTTATCCATATCATTTCAACACGTACGATCGCTAGACTCAACCTCACATCGGCCTTTCTATATTGATCGTCCGCGAAACGGCAGCTTTCCCAAACGATTGTACAACGACAGCAATAGTTCATATTCATTTTTCACCGCTTTTTGTCGCGTGTCTCTACGAAAAACCGTGCCGAGTGGTAATCGAGCGACGTGCGCGACAATCGAAACAAATAGTCTTCGTTTTATCTGATTGCGAGTAAGAATACTTACCGGTGCATCGGTGTTTCCCGCATTAATAGGCAACAATCGGTTCGATCGAAGGTTCAAGGTGAATTCGAAAGGAAAAGAACGACCGAGTCAAGATTCAATTGCATGCTCACGGCGCCGGACAGCCCATCCTTCATTTCTGAAACAAAAAGAAAGGAAACGCTTCTCGTCTCGCTCGAGAAAGAGAAAGAAAAAAAGAGTACACATCGTTTGCCGATCGGTGAAAGATGCATGTCACCTGCAAGTGCCTGAACGTGTCCATCAGATCCAGGAACGCCGAACTGCAGCGGGTCAACATCGACAGCATTGAATTGACCGATCTGGAGCGCACCGATGCCTTCTTCCGCGAGGTAAATGCTTTTTCCTTCTCTCAAAAGTCTACGACTTTTCACGATGTGAATACGATTAAATTTTCGAGGGAAATAAATTTTTTTAAGAAGAAAAAATTGTTTAAATTTACTAATATATATTGCTTTAGTGTGCGTGAGCTTCATTGTTCGTTTTTCTCTTTTGTTCTATATTCAATTTTCTGTACTACAGACCAAAAAAATGCGGCTTGCGGTCTATCGCCACGAATAGACATCGAAAAAGATCGTACAAACTCACTGAAATTGTACCGACTCCAATTCTTTTTTTGCAGCGTGACGATAATCTGACACTTTGCGATCGTCATGTTAGCATCTAGTGTATTGCTGGACACTTGCCGCTTATCTTTTGTCTCCATTTAACTCACGATTCACATGCCAAATATAATAATCACATCGAATTTATTAACAATTAAAATATCAGTTAATCTTTTAATATTTTATTTTTAAAGTAAAATCTGTATGCAAATTTTCTTATAATTATTTAAATAGTCATAATGTAGAATATGAATGTAGATCTAACAAACTTTGATTTTATCTATTACAGGACCTGGCAAGTATACCGGAATTGGAGACTATTACTAAAGAGCAGCCTGGCTTAGTGGAAATAAGAAATGTCGGATCATGGATTATACATCGTTGTTACAATTGCTCAATATACACTCATGCTGTCCACAGAGAGTTTGGTGCTGCTTTAGTCCTTATTAATAGCAATATTGTTGTAAGTTTTAGGCATAATTCCACAAAATATTTACAATCATAGTATGTTATTTGATATAAGCCTATTATGCTTATTTACTTTCTACTTTGTAAATAAACGTTTCAAAGCTTAATTAAATCATTATACTGTTTCAGTTATCTCCCGAAGAAATAAATAAATTAAAATCTAACCCAGATTACAGCCAGGTATTTAGGATAGTAATTAATCACAGTTTGGAAGATCTCGATGATTATCTACAACAGCCTAATAAATTCTCTGGTAAGTGAATGCATGTATACATACAACACATGTAATTATAACAGTATGTAATTTTGTTGCATTTCATTGCAAAGTATATTAATATGATTTAAATATTATATCATAATTTTATTTATCTAGTTTCACAATTGCCTAATACGGTTCAAGTGGCTCTAGGCGGATTACAACGCCAGCTAGAAGAAGCTGTACAACGTCAAACAGCAACGATAGAAGATAAAATACGTGCGTTTACAGCAGAACAATATCAACTGTTGGAACAATTTCGTGAAAGAGCACATAACGAACATAGGCTGTTATCAAAGTATGATCCTCAATGATAGATCATTTTATAAGTATAATATATTGTATTATAATAATAATCGTAATCTTTTTATTTATAATTAGGTTAGTGTGTAGAGGAGAGGAGACGAATAGAGTAACCAGTAATATAGAAACTCCGCCAACAACTCCTGACAGCTTTAAGAATACTTTGACTACCTCTGCAGCTAATCCAGTTAATCCAAAGTCCAATGTAGTATCCGATGATACGAAAGTTTCGACTGGCTCAAATATTAAGCACGAAACAACCGCTAAACATTCTTCTAAAGATTCTACTAATGTACGTCATTTTTCTTGTTTTCAATTTTTTTAAATTATTTCATATAATTGTTATAGATCTGAATATTATAATTTCATTTATTTAATTTTATAAACAAGTCTGATGAATTTTATAGAATAAAAATATGAAGAAGAAAAATTCACAGTACATTTGCACCAAGGAATCGGCTAGCTTTGATGCAGAAGCAATGTTTCCTTTTGAGGGCATAGAGGAACCAGATACAGCCAACCCACAGATTCTATGGTCCTCTGAAGAAGGATCTGATACTGATGGTATGTTATATTGTTCTTAATAGCAATAATTTGTTTAAACCCAGATTAACATAGTAACTTACAGATTCAGGCCAGAACGAAGGGATTCAAATGCCAAGAAGTCAACGGGATGGTCATGCCACCTTGGCTAAATCGCTTCCTGTCACTGTACCTGCTTTCCCTTCTATTGTTCGTCGTGCAGTACAGGACCAAGATGATGATCAGGTAAAGTTTAATTTTTGCAATATATTATACCATATAGATTTTGCGTACTATTTTTATATGAATTGATTCTATTGCTGCTATTCGGTTAAATTTACTCGAGAGATTTGATGTCAGTATGAATGCTACTATGAAAAAAATATATGTATATAATTACAGCTGCCAAGCAACCCGCTAGATCCGCACAACATTCGAGCTTCAATTAAAGCCTTAGCTAAAAGTGTACATGGTGATACGGTATTCGGAGACTTACCACGTCCCAGATTTTCTACTCAGATCTGACTTGTCAAGTATGACCAGAAAAATTCACTCAGCACTTCGTGCTTTTGATACAATATATCATAGTCCCTATCATCCGTCATTTTTGTCTTTCATACAGAAGTTACTAAAGAATTATGTATACAGACCTAGAATAGATATGGTCAGTTTTGCAGAAATACAGGACATCTGCATATTTTATAGAAACTCGAGATTATGCTGTAATTCAAATTCTTACTATCTAATTTACTAAATAACACAAATACGGAAAGACTATACATGCTGTATAAACTGAAGGCTATACTTGCAAATATTGTAAAAAAAATAGATCGTCCTGACAGACATAAACACGTGCATTAAATGTTTATAAACGCCTAAACACATTTGTAAAAACTAAAGATATCTAGTGCAACCTGGAATTTTATCATTTATTCCAATATAAATTCACTCGCGTAAATGTTTATTATGTACTATACAGCAGACTGAATTTTTTGTCATTACCTCAAGCAACAATATTAGCAATTTAAAGACTACTTGACACATAGAATGCAAAGAATAACAACAAAGAATTATGTCACGCTATTGCATTATTGATATTTATAAAGCTGTTACAAACATTTTACAACATATAATTATATTTTTTTCCTGTTATGTTGAAAATTAAAACGTCATTGATAAATGCAGAGAATGTCAATTATGCATAAATATGGACACTTTATAAAGAAATATATAGATAATGTAATGGAAAAACTCAGCGCAAATGTGATTATAATTATAATAAGAGAAAAGATTTATAAATCATAATTTCTTACATAGAAATTAAGGTCTAAAACAGATTACCATCAAATGCGCGCGCGTGCGCGCGCGCTTCTTATGCATTACATACTTTATTATTAAGTAATTTTAATAATACTTTTTTTTGCAATCAATTTAACATATTGACTGAATAATGAAAAATAATCATAACTAATACTGTATGAGAAAAAATCTTTTTTGTATTAGATGTGATATAAACGATATATCCTATTTTTAGCAAAAGTGAGACACCTGATGTTATCTGACCTATATTCACAAATTTGGAAATATATTACCGATTTATAATTTCTTTTTTCATGAAACACCTGCAAAAAAAATGTTACGGTTACGTAGAATTAAAAAATATTCTAATAATTTTTTCTGCAGCAATTTGCTGTATAATGTAGCATTAATTTTTTGTATCTTTGTAAAACATCCTAATCATGTCCTTCTATTACGTATGTATGTACATTCATTAAAATGGATATATGTATGCCTTTAATTGATAATTATTATTGCTATTTTATTTTATATTCTCAAGAAAATGCTAATGCTACATGTAAAAAATTCTACTCTATCTTAAACCAATTGTCTGCAAATCCATCTTCCTGATTCCTTAAGATTTATGATTACATTTTTCTGATTAGCAAAGATTATGAATACTTTTATAATAATTAATTATAAATTAAAAAGGAAAAGACATACAATTAGTACAAAATTTCTTTCGTGTTTTTGAGATTCATGACATTTGCATATAATTATCTCTCATTATTTTTGTGTTCTTATAACAAAAATAAGTTGTTTGTAAGAAAATCTATGTATATTAAAATTCATTTTTACAAATAAAAATGCTGCAAATTATACTTAAGATGGTTTTATTAATCACTTATAGAGATATACGTATATGTATGTATGTATGTATGATGTTATAAATACATACACACTAATCTGTAAGTAATTTTTACAGTACAAAGTCAAGACTTTTTTAGAATGTGACAACATTAACTTATTTGCCACTTTTAATTATAAAGTAAATGATTTAGATAAAGATGAATGAAAATAATTTGTATTACAGTATTACATTTGCATTCTCTCTCTCTCAAGAGAATTTATATAGCAAAACTATGCACGCAAATTTTTGTCAATCTAGAAAAAAGTTTTGACTTTGTATTATAAGACTTACTTGCAGAATATTTTCATGTATCATCCATGTAACTTTACTATCAGTGAGCAAGTGTAGCTTTATTCTTTGCCGCGAGCTCCATTTGCGCAGCAGCTACAGTCTTCATACCATCTTGCACAGATGTAAGATTGGCTTTCCATGATACGAGTAAATCTCGCAGCTGCATCCATTGAGGACGACCGAATGTCCTGTGCATCGTACTCGAAATTAATACTTTACGACCAGCCTGATCCATGCGCGCTCTTACAAGCTTGGTTTTTAAAACTGGAACAAGTAAATGATCATGATAATTCTATTTATATCGCACAACAATAATAAATGTCATCTATTTCATATCTTTCTATATTAAGTAGCAAAAAATTGTTGAATGTCTCGATAACTCAGTAAAAATATAATTCTACTAAGCCAGTACTGATTCATTTTATATACCCTGTTTAAAGTCGACTGCCACTTAAATGCATAAAGTGGAAATACTTTGCTTACACAGGGTGTAAAAAATTACCAGTTGCAATATAATAGAAAGTAATATTGAATACGAAAAATAAATTTACCATCAATTATGAAGCTTTCGACTTCAGATTCATTGATCTGCAATTCCTCTTGTATTGTATCGAAAGACATCTCTGGATTTGTCTCTGCAAGTTGCATAAAGGTCAGTAGCCTCATCTTCTTCATGTTTTGCTCGTGATTTAATCCTGCAATAAGTATATTAGATATTATTATGCTTAAATTGATTCAATATATTTACATAATATTAAATATATACCAAGCTGATGTTCAACAAATTCTCTATGATGTTGATAGAAATGTAGGTATGCTGGCAGTTTATCTTGCACAAAGACAAGAAGTAAATCATGTATCAATTCGCCCTCTAAAAATCTCACAGGTTTCAATGCTAAAAGTGGATCCAATAAAAATGTATTTGGATCCGCTAACGCAGCTAATATACAACGTTGTGCATCTTCTCTTGCTGCGGAAGCATTTTCTGCTGTATAAGTACCCAAAAGCTCCACCATAACAGCTGCTGCTTGTTCTCTAAAAGATTACACAGATATCCATATATCTATAAGCACTTTTATTCTAACATTATTTCTTGTTTTGTGGACTAGATATGTTTAACCTTTAGAGAGCTGCAGGATGTTTTAAAATCATAAACATTTCGAGAAAACAATATATTAGGAACAAGAAAGTATAAAAATAAAATTGGAAAACTAGAAAACTTGAATATTCTATACATTTAATACATAAATTGCTTCAAAATATGATACTGATTTCGAGACGTTATATTTTGCAGCCTTCTCAAAGTTAATGTCAAACATGACATAAAAATGAAGATAATTACCCTTGTTTACAGCTTAAAAGAACTTCATGCAACAAGCGTAATAATTTCTGCATTTGTTCGTTTGATGGTGGAAAAGAGGCAAACTGTTGCTTCAATTGATCTATTCCACTGTATACAGCTTTTACTTGATCAACATTGCGAGCTATTTGTACCAAATGATAGTAAACATGATATCTCATTGGAGAATCGTCAGCAAGTGACTGGAATAATAGCCATAAACTGTAAACACACATATTACATTATTTATTAATATATTAAACTATTATAATAAAAGTATTAATGTTGTACATTAATTATATAAAAAGTAATATCTTACGCTTTTAAGCACACCAATCCCAGCTTATATCCAGGTGCTTTTACAAGTTTTTCACAAAATGCTAAAATTAAATTTTCCGCACGTTCTGTGGGTATCTAAAATCAAATATTAATAAAAATAAAAGAAAAAGTCGTGTTAATATTTATTTATGTATAATAAATAAAGAATTAAATACTAAACCTACCAAAATCATGATAGAAACAATATCATTCAATACAGTTTCTATCTCAACTTCGTTTCCTTCTTTGAAACAGGCCTCGCATACTCCAATAATTTTATGCAAATCATCTTCTATACCTTTGGGCGATTTTTCTTCACTGATTTCTGCACCAAGGCTTTTAAAATATACCCTTAACTCTTGCGCCTGTTAATGATATTTAATATTTAGTATGTGGAATACATTAGTTTTTACACTGAATAGAGTCAATCTTTATATGTATTTTTATAATTACTATTACTTAATTATAAAATGTGTTAATTTAATATGCTTTAATGTGCTTGTCACATATAAAAACATTTTAAAATAACCTATAAATGTTGCGACAATAAGTTTCAAAGTTAAAGCTTTAACAATATGTATGTACGAAAAAATACATATCTAAGAAAATTAATCATCTTTTATTTAATTTAATAAACTACCTGGTCGTCTAAGGGCAGTTCCATAAAAATTGGTGGCACTTGCATTTTGACAAATAATAGCACGTTTCACCGTAAGAAAATTCAATCGGCAACCGTATGGTAAAGACCATAGATGAAGAAAATAATAGATGAACCACCCAAAATTTCTTTCGCGTTTTGATGTATTCCTATTTTTCACCATGTGAATAATCGACTTTTGAAAGACGAATCTGATTGATAGATCTTAAAGTATTTACCAATCACAAGCAATTATTCAAATGCTAAGTCACTGAAATGAAGAATAGGAACGCACCATGTAATGCGTATATGCAAAAAAAAGCTCGGTTGGCAACTCTGAAATATTTAACTTCAGATCAAAAGCTAATGCGATATATGTAATGTGCGTGTTTATATTATAAAATTGTGTTAAAGTGCATCACGTTTATTTAATTATTACGTGAAAGAACTTCGATTTACAGCGCATTTTTATTTTACTATGTGTCATTGCGCATGTTTTTGAGGTATGTCTGTTAAATTGATTGTAAGAAATTGTATCGTGAATCAGTTTATTAGACATGCAGGAGGTATACTAATGCTTGCATATTACCGTAAAAAAATTTATGTCACACCATTTAGATGGTAATAAAAAAAAATCAAGGTCGTCTTCACAATTGTATAAATATTATTGGTTCTCTATAATGCTTGTTACTGTGTGAATTGTGCATATCATTTGGTTGATAGGATACGTTATTGTTAAAATTTGAACATTTTGATAAATAGAAACAATTTGACATATGCAAAGTTGGAGGTAAATTTGAATTGTTTCTTAACAAAATATAAATGAATCGTATCGCAAGAACTCGCAGCCAAATATTTGTGACTTGTACAATTACAGTTGATAAAAATAATGAGATAACTTTGTTTCTCTTTCTCAGCTCTTAATTACAAAAGAGATAAAAATTTTTTTGTGGATTAACGATAGAAAAAAAGTTATTGCCATAATCTTAGGAATTGTTGCTACATTTACATGCACACTCTTATCTTGTACATAAGAATAGTTATCAGTGATTACACAACTCTCTAATCATCAATGATGATTGCAGAGTATTTGGGAGAAATAGAGTACGATTGGACGCAGAAGCAATTGCAGCATTTTTATCAGAGAGAAATTATGTTGATGAGTTTATTGATGTGGAGAAATATATAATCTTATTAGAAAAAATCTAAGCTGCACATTTAAATTGACAAACAATTAATATTATGGCTCTCCAGCATTCAGTGAATACTGGTGATGGCAATTTGGATAACAAGATTATTGAGTGGTTGCAATGGAACAAGGTATGATATTTATATTAATAAATTTGCTGCATTTATTTTATTTTATTTTTTGTGATAATTTATTTTGTACAATGTGAATGTTATTTTGTACATTACTTAAATTGTAATGATATAATGTTACAGGATCCAAAAGAAGAAAAGGAAATACTTGAATATTTAAATAATGAACAAATTAAAATATTGTCAAAGTTGTTTCTCAAGAGACTCGAATTTGGAACTGCAGGTCTCAGAGGTTGTATGGGACCAGGTTATAGTCAAATGAATGATCTGGTGATCATACAAACTGGTCAAGGATTAACAAGATACTTGATGGACACAATATTAGATGTTGCACAGAAAGGTGTTGTAATAGGCTATGATGGTCGCTATAACAGCAAAAGGTAAATTATTTATAGTTTTATATTATATTTATAATATATTTATTGTATAATTCAATTAAATAATCTGCACTGTGTGAATTTTTATATACTGACATAATACTGCTAAAAGTAGTTATGTCAAGATATATAAAGATAAGTGTAGTAGTGATGTTTATTTAATATTTATATATTTTATTAACTATTAATATTAAGTATTTAAAAGTGCTAAAATAGTTATAATATTAAAAATTAATTGTATAAATGTCTTTTTCCAGATTTGCAGAATTGACTGCAGCAATTTTCATAGCCAATGATATTAAAGTGTATTTATTTTCCGAAATATGCCCCACACCATTTATACCTTATACTATATTAAGGTACAAGTGTGCGGCTGGAATTATGGTCACCGCCTCTCACAATCCAAAAGATGACAACGGATACAAAGTCTATTGGCAAAATGGAGCACAAATTATTACACCGCATGATAAAAAGATTCAAAATTACATTCTTAACAATCTTGAACCACTTGAATCATCGTGGGATGTTAACAAAATCTATCAAAGTCTTTACTACAAAGATCCGAAAGACGAAATTATGCAACATTATTACAAAGACTTGAAAGATAAAGTTTTATATCCTCAAGTTAATAGAAACACCACGTTAAAATTCACTTACACTGCTATGCATGGCGTTGGATATGAATATATGACTGCTGCATTTGAAGCGGCGAACTTTAAGGTAGTATCTTACATATTGATACATAGAGATACATTCTTCGAGAAATAAACACTTCATCGTTTATTTCAGCCGTTTATAAGTGTGGAGGAGCAAAAATTGCCAGATCCAGAGTTTCCTACAGTAAAGTTTCCAAATCCGGAGGAAGGAAAGAGCGCCCTTGATCTTAGCATAAAACAAGCGAATAAAAGTGATTCTTATATAATATTAGCCAATGATCCTGATGCTGATAGACTTGCGTGCGCGACAAAGTCAAAAAGGTTCGTGAACTAGTGGTCTTGTGAGTTGATGTGAAATACTGATAGACAAGCAATGAAAACGCGTTTGATGATCCTTATAGCGGGGAATGGCATGTCTTCTCCGGAAATGAACTTGGTGCATTATTGGGTTGGTGGATGTTACACACTTATCAAGTGTTACAACCTGATGCTGATATGAGTAACGCATACATGTTAGCATCCACCGTTTCCAGTAAAATTCTAGCATCAATGGCTAAGAAAGAAGGCTTCAATTTTGAGGTTTGTGTATTTTGTATACAAGGTATATCATATATCAAACTTTTATTTGATGCACGTTTTTTAGTTCTTTAAAAATAAATTATTCTTAATCTTTAGAAGTTTTTTTGTTCCCCAAAAGTTTAATAAAAATATTCTTTTTTTTTTACAGGAAACTTTAACAGGTTTTAAATGGATGGGCAATAGAGCTATAGAGTTAATAAAGGAAAAAAAGGATGTCCTGTTCGCATATGAAGAAGCTATAGGTTTTATGTGCGGTTCTAAAGTTTTAGATAAGGATGGTATTAGTGCTGGTATACGTGTAGCTGAATTAGCAGCTTATCTGGAAACAATTGGATTAACGTTATCAGATAAATTGAAAGAGATATATCAAGAGTACGTAAAATTGCACCTATATATGAAGAAAAAAAATTTGAGCACAATGTAATAAATTTTAATTATTTAACAATATTTAGATATGGTCATCATATCAGTGATAATTCCTATTGGATATGTCATGACTCAGACACTATCAAGGCGATATTTGAGCGATTGAGAAATTATTCTGATAAACCAAATACAGTAAGTATTATCCGAATTGTTATAATATCTTAATGAAATATTTTTTCCTAATTGAAAAACGTAGATCTTGTGCGCTACTTTTTGCACTAATTATATAAATTATTATCTATATGATTTTTACTTTCACTTTCGCGTGACGTATATGTAATTCATAACTGGATAATATGTTGCATTTATGGCATAAAAATGAGTTTTTATCAATTAAAATTAGATTTTAATACTGTACACACAATATTACTACGTTGTTTAAGATATTTTATATTTTTATTTTAATATATCTAATCATAATTATGCTTGATTAAAACGTTCAAATATTTTTCGAATATTTATCTTGGTGGTATGCCATAAAAAAATATCAGAATGTGGTTTCAAAATAGTCAATATTTTAAAGTCTGTTATGAACTAGCATCATTTATATACTGCTAATGTATTCTGATATATGTTTAATGCCCGCAAGGTCGTCAAGTATATGCGTTGCATGAGGTAGCACAAACCGGCTAACCACTCTGAAAGTGTAATAACGCTGAACGCCGACGTATTTGTGCGCGTATCATTCTAGGTGACAGTTGTGTGTTTTATGTGCTCTTTTATAATATAATACGAAACACGATGTAAATATAAAAGTGCCACATACACAATGTTCGTACAACTAAAAAACATTAAAACGTAAAAATTTACAACAGTGTTTCTTATTATAGAAAACGTTTTCCGCTTGGAAACGTCGTTTTTACGTTTTCACATTTTTATTTTTTGCACATGGTCACTTTCACGCTTGATTATTGAATTGTTGTGCACAAATAAATTGTTACACTGCAATAATGTGTAGCATATAATAATTTTCAATCAAAATTATTTTTTTTTAATTACGCAATTTTGTTTATTTTTGGTTTTTCTTTTTATCTCGCTTGTTGACATAAGATGGCAAAAAATAACATTTGCAACAAATATGTAAATATGGCTATCACATCTTTAACACTCTTGCCATCTATGCTACTTGCCGTAATGGTTATTCCAATTGTACAGTCATTGTATCATCTTACGCCATTTTTTACAGACGAAGGCCAAATAAATGCATTGTAAGTATATATTTAAGACAAAAATATATACTGTCATATCGCAAAGTACACCAATTTAAAAATTGCTGGAATGTAAAAATACAAAACTAATTTTTTTAACTTTTTATATTTAAATTTTTCTGAGATGTACAATTACATTTTATTTTATAACTAATTTACATTTCTAGTATATACATTTATATATTTTTATTATTATTATTATATATTATTTATTATTATTTATATATTTACTATATTTCTTATGTAAATTATATTTTTCTACTGTCTCTCAAAGTTCTAATGCAATTTTTAATTGTAGTACCCAACCGGAATTCGAAATGGGAAATATACAATAGCTGGCATAAGAGACTTAACAACCGGATATGACAATACAAAACCCGACAATAAAGCTGTTCTACCTGTATCGAAATCTAGCCAAATGATCACGTTTACATTCAAAAACGGATTAGTTACCACTTTGAGGACCAGCGGTACCGAACCCAAAATAAAATACTACAATGAATTATGTGGATCACCTGGAGAGTAAGTTCTTTGCAAATGTTTTACTGGCAGAAATATTTAATTCTATCATATTTTAATGTTTTTATTCTGTTTTTTAATTTAATAATTTTAATTTAGTAACATATTTATGACATGTTTTAATATATACGTAAATTCTGTAATATATTTAAAAAATATGTACTTTCCGCGCACTTTATTTTTTAAATATTTGTTATGTAATATAATAATATATAACGTAATATATATAATTTTAGGGATTTAAACAAATTGAAGAGTATTCTCATCGAAATGGTATCAGCTGTGGTAACAGAATTTCTTCAACCTGAAATGAATGGACTTATTGCCCGCGAACTATAAACAATGATAAGTAATTGCGGTTTGATATGCGTTACGTAACGCTTGACTCATTTAAGTGTCAAGCAAACGTTTAATTTGTGTCAGTAAAATGCGTCATGTAAGCTATCTTTATAAATACCACGTAAAGATGTGATGCAAATATGTTCAATTTATAATTTTACTTGAACATTTTATATTTATTATTATGTTGATACATTATAATTATACATTTTAAGAATCAATAGTTCAAGTCTGTTATCAAATGGATGTGATGTTTTTCTGTAATTCTTGAAATGGCTGTGCATTATTTTATTTACTGAAAATGTTAAATCTTACAACAGGTAAATACGTTATCATGTTCTGTTTAATTTCTAGAAGTAATAGTTTTAAAAATTAATGCAGAAAACTGTGTGATGATTATCATTTAACTCTGCAATTCAAAAATTAAAATTAGCAAAGTTAATATATAAATATATAAAATATGAATAATGTTTTGGCAATTAATTGGAATTATTCAATAATTATGACAATGCAGTAGAATTATTGGTCTGTAATAAATAATAAACTACAATTGTTCATTGAAATTTTATATATTTAATAATTTTTTTCCGTAACTGTTGCTCCGCTAAAAATATTGAACCTGATTATAGGATGATTCAAGTGCTGATTAAACTAAAAAAATATCAAAAATTTTAATAATTTATTGAGAAGAACTGACTGATTAATTTTTGGTTAAAAGAATATATCAATCATAGATAACTGCTAATCAACGATTGTACAACCCTTTTATCTTCTGAAGGTAACTAAACTGTTCGATGTAATACAGCTCATATGCCATAGATGCCACTAGCATCGAGGACACAGTTGAAAAACCGAGTGCTATCTAATGATTTAAATACTCGAAGACTAAATGATCTAAACCCTCGAGGTGTTCACGAACGGCTTTCCGGTGTTGGGTTTGGTGCGGTATTTTGTTATCGTGTTGTCTTCGTCACGCCGTTATCTGTCATTTCGGGCGTTGATCATTGTCAAATTCGTGGTAGCGTTCGTGGCGAATCGGCCGAAGAACACCACTACCGTTTCGACCACGTAACGAAATAATACGTATAATCAACATTCGCCGCATTTCCCCGTACGGCTCCGCTTCACAACGAAGAGGTGTATCAACACCCATGAGCGAGAGGCCGCAGTTTATACGCGGAATAATGCATTCACGTTTGTCGCGCTTGTAAGACACCAACCAGCCGCCGTAGTCGATTGAAGCGATACATTTCGCTTTCGTCACTGCGTCACCACGCGAACATGCCCATGCTGCTTTCACGACGAAATCGCGAGCAGAAAGTGACTGGTTCGAACCTGGAGTTCACTCATTTCCAGAGATTTCAGGTGCGTATGTTGCTCCCGCTGAGGTCAACCAACTCGACTGTCATTCAATATCTGTCTCCTGTTTGCGGACTGCAATGTAAAACAATACTTAAATGACATTTAAAATGACATAATTTTTTATTTGCAGCTTTGCAGATAATATACACAATTGTAAAAGTGCTGTTTATATCGATCAGACATGATTCAAGCTGATCAGTGAATTGACAAAGGATAGCCTTGTTATATGGATGCGTGCTGATTAGCATATCAGTTTTGTATGCTATATACTCTTTTTTTGTAAATTTATTATGCTATCATCATGACCACAATACTTTCTGATAAGCAGATCCATCAACTGGTGAGACAAAAGAGATTTTATTAAATATAGAGTGTCATACTTTTTGTTTTATTTTTTAACAACAGATTCTTTGAGAGGCAATTTTTTCAAAAATGTCAAGATGTTAATTTTAGAATTGTAAATGATTAAAAGAAAAAATTTGAGAGAAAGAACTTTGTGCAAACTAATTTTTTAAAAGTCAAATAGATTCCAAATTCATGTTCTTTAGAGTTTAATTTGGTAGAATTCTAATTTGATTTTATTTATGAAGACATATAATACAATAAGTTGGAAAGTTATAATGTCTTCTCAACATTTTCATCAAGAAAATATGACTAAATGATAAAGAATTTGTTGTTAAAAAATAATGTGTGAGAAATAGGACACCTGATATATTGATTATCATTTGATTATCTTATATTCTAAATAAAGTGAATAGATAATGTTAAAAATTTGATAAAGAATTACCTAACATAAAATTTTATGTTACATATTAAAATTTTATGTTTGGTATTAAAATTTAAACTTTTTATATTGGATTTTTAAATTTTTTTATTTTAATATATGCATATTTATTGTTTATAGAGTATTAGCATCGGGAAAGCTGTAAATTCAACGGAAACCCCGGTGAAAGAGAAACATGTGCGGAGTATCCTTTTCTATTTTAAAACATGCTAATGTGTAATTATATCTTTAGTATTATATTTTATTATTAAACTATTATATATATTATTTTACCTGGAAATCTTGGAAAATCTGAAATTTCTAGAGAATTCTTTTTTATTTGGAAGATTGTCTCTTCAAGGATTCTTTTATTTTATAAACTACCAGAAATTGTTTGTGTTATCTTTCTGCTTATTTTAATACTTTTTAAATCTATTGTGTGAAACTTGAATTAATATTTCATAATTTGATCAAAACATGTGAAATTCAGAAAAATCTTAAAGAATTTTTTTCTAAGATTTAAGTATAGACATCCAAATTATATATCTAAAGAAAATTCCTTATAAGTAAATAGGTGCAATTATTGGTACGTATCGAGAGAAGAGCGGAGCCATCTTCTGGATGTACATGCTGAGACAACCATTGCAAGAAAATCAAATTGTTGCGTGGAAATTCTGTCATGTTCTGCACAAAGTATTACGTGAAGGACATCCTCGGGTTGTCGTTGACTCTCAGCGATATCGCGGCAAATTGGAGGACATCGGCAAGCTCTGGCAACATCTTAGAGAAGGCTACGGTCGTCTTATACAGTTGTACTCAAGGCTATTAATTACTAAATTGGATTATCATAAAAGAAATCCGCGTATACCTGGAAATCTACATGTAACAGCGGAAGAGCTAGAGGCTATTGGAGAGAATGATATTAATGTGTAGTAAGTTATATATCTCTACAGGATGTCTCAAAGTTTGTGGATGTTTTTTAATGACAATTTCCTGGCCAATTTAAAGTCAATTTTACCAAAATGTCGAAGGAAGCCATTATTATAACAATTTCCAATTTTCAACATTACATTATATATCAGTCTAAACTTTAAATTGAAATTTTATTAAAATCCACTTGAGCTTAATTGAAAGATGTGGCTCTATTATTCAATTGTCTCCTTTAAGTTTAATTTGCAAAACGCTCTTTTATCAATTGTTTACATTTTGCTATCAATGCCCTCATATTTTCCCTGAAAAAAAATCAATTTTAATTAGGTCAAAGAATCTGTCACATGAAAGTATATCCACATATTCTATTATTTTCTATACTAATTTATTTTTTGTATTCTATATTTAGATTTATTTTATATATTGATATTATTACTTAATTGAATATATTAATACTTTACTACAAATATAATTTGTTATTCTTTTCAGTTTCCAGATGTCTGTCGAGATGTTTGATTATATGGACGACATTTTGAATTTGCAGCATGCAGGTACGGTAAAATGAGATACTAAAATGTCAGATTTAGAATTTTGCTCAATTACTGTCTTTCCTGAAATATAAATCTCCCACAGTGATGCTTTCACTTACTTTTGTATTGTGAAATTGCAGTTTTTGGTTCTTTGGACCTGTCGCGCTCGAATTCGATGACACCCTGCGGTCAATGTCGACTCGCGCCTTTAATCCCGTGCATCCAGGATGCTTCTCAACTGTACGATTGCTGCGTGAAAATTCTGTTTAAGCTGCACGGCGCACTACCAGCAGATACATTGACCGGACACCGTGACCGTTTCTCGAAACAGTTTCACGAATTGAAAAGCTTTTACAACACTATCAAGCACATGCAGTATTTCAAGCATTTGATAGCGATTCCGTCGTTGCCGGAGGTAAAAAGCGTTTATCAGCCGATAACGATATAAGTATAAACTTGTCGCGTCACGATGCGATGTATCATATTCCTTATACACGAACATTTTAGAATCCACCGAACTTTTTGATACAAGCCGAGCTGAGAACATACGTCACGCCAATAGTGGTACTTCCGCCCGAAGAAGCCATAGATAGCGAGACTGCCATAGAGAATCTTATCGATACATCTGATGCAGGATCTTTAACGGGCGATCAGTTGGATTCTACAAACACACGAAACGGTTCGCTGTCACCTGATGCTCTTACAGAAAGGTATATTTTTTTTCTCAACATGAACTCGATGATAGACGGATAATAGTGACGATTAGCCATACAACTGAACTTACACTAATTCTAAAGTTTACTTGAGTTTCAGTTTTGAATGTGTTTACTTGTGAAAATGTAATATTATTTCAAATAGCTTTTAAGAGTCGACATGTGTAAGTTTATATGATTTATATTTTGTTATTTTTTTCAGCTTTTTAAATAATTCTTTAAAAATATTTTTTTTTTGTAATCAAACAATTCACACAAGATGTTTTACTCTTCAGAAATTGCATTTTAAGGCAAATAATTCTGAATTTCCAGTATCTTCTTTTCTCACACAAATGCATACTTTTTCAGAGACAATCTTATTGACCACTTGTGTCAAGAGAACAGTCGTCTCAGACAAGAAGTAAATCGCTTGACAGCGGAGTATCAGCAAATAGTTGCAGATCATAGAAATCGCATTCTAGAGCTCGAATCGACCCTTTCTACCAAAGTGAGTCTATAATTTAGTTTTGACAATTTTTCTTTGTTTCGTCTACTTATGTTATGCGAATATTTCAGAGCAATGAAATTGTGGCGGAGAAACAACTTTGTCAAAAGCTATTGAAAGAAAACACGATTATCTTAGGAAAATTTGAAGTAATTGAAGGTTAGTAGAGTTTTAACAAATAACTTCTTTATAATTGCAAACGCTCGGTTTTACTTACATGTTCATAGTTGTGTAATGTATGAATCTTCTATATAACGATTTTGCACATGTCAAACTTTTCCAGGAAAAAATGAAGTTTTAGACGAGAAGTTTAAAAAACTCAAGGATGTTTACTCAAAGTTGAGAGATGAACATATCAGTTTGATTAGAAAGGTACGTACTTGATACTGACGATAAAAGATTATCTGCCACATCCATGATCTTATTTGCGCTACCATTTATTACACACGACAGAAATCTGAGCTAGATAAAGAACTGGGAGGATTAAAGATATTACGAGAGCAATCTGAACGGCGTACGTTGAAAGCTGAGGAGCGTCTGGAAGAATTGCTTCAAGGACAAACGTCAACAGAACAAGAAGCGCAGAGAGTAACACAAGCGCGCCAAGATTTGGAAGATGTGAGAAAGAAGCTTGATGCTGTTCAAACTGAAAATTTGGTAAGTAAAGATTTTTATTTAACACAATTATATATTGTACTAACTGAAATATATTTATTTTACTTTAAAAATATGCTTTATAATATATTGCAGGCGCTAGCAGCAAAAATAGATTTTATTACATCAGAAAAAACTGCTCTGGAAGGAGATCTTCATGATTTGCTGGTACAAAAAGAGGAAATGGATTTGAAAGTAGTGAATGTGGAAGCTGATGCCGAACGATCCCGTAATCAAGTGAAAACGGAGGCCAACACAGCTTTATTCGATTTACTATGTAAGTGACAATGCAGTCATATTTGTGTTGAAAAAGAAAAATATATACTTATACGAAAGGAATGTTCTGTTTCAGTGAATGCTATATCAGAAGCGGAATCTATCTTGCATCACGCAATGCACGCGATTGATAATCCGGCCATATCGGCGCTAACTTGTACGCCCGATTATCTCAATACTTTACTGGAGCCGACCGAGAAATCATTGAACGATTTAGTGGAAGCGTATGATAATTATATATCCGATTCGACGAAAGGAAAATCGCTAGTTCGCACCGCTATACACGGCGCGTACTTTCTCGCTCTCTATTTGATTTACGCGAAATCTACGTCGAACACATCGACGGATATTGGTTCAGCCGACAGTAAGTTTTCCACAAACCGCATAATAATGTTTTATAAGTATTCTATCGCGAATAACATTTGTTTGAGGACCACTTAGTGATTTTCCGCTTAGAAATTTTTTTTAGAGAAAGATTAATGATGTAAAATAAAAAAATTACGGAGTATTTTGGATATACGAAACATCAAATTGCCTTTTATAAAATCCATCGTATATTTGTAGGATTTGCCGATGAGTGCAAACAATTAGGCTCGCAAGGTTTAATTATGTTGAGTTATATCAAAGAGAAGTCTTCGGCGACCGTGGTACAAATTGCAAATGTCAAAAATCAATTACAAAAGATTTCATCTCTCATAAATACATTGTCGACTACTCAGAACAACGTGGAGGTTATTGGAAATTTAGTAGAAAACGAGTTGCAGAGTATGGATAAGTCTATAGAGGAAGCGGTTGCAAGAATACAGGTGTTTAATGATAAGCATATTTGCAAGAGAGAAAGAGAGAGAGAGCGCAATGTAGGAAAAGTACAAGAGATAAATAACCATTTTCCGTTTATTTACTTTTAAACAGGATATGTTGGATAAATCTCGCGCGGCGGATTCAGGCTTGAAACTGAAAGTAAACGAACAGATCCTGGATTCTTGCACGGAATTAATGAAGTTTATCAGAATACTGGTGCAGAAGTCTCGATTGCTGCAAAAAGAAATCGTGGAGCAGGGAAGGGTATGGCGCAAGTTTCTTTTACCATTTATTTAGAGACACACGGAATTATAAATGTTAATGATACTTTGTTCAGGGAACTGCGTCGGCTACCGAGTTTTACAAACGCAATCATCAGTGGTCCGAAGGCCTCATCTCGGCAGCGAAAGCGATTGCTATGGGTGCAAACTTTTTGCTGTAAATATAAAATACTCTATATAATTTCTTTGATCTCGGTAGTTTTTAAAATTCTTTTTGAGATATTGTTAATATTGTATATGTGTATTTATCGTTACAGAGAAGCGGCGGACAAAGTTGTATTGGGCAATGGGAAATTTGAACAATTGGTAGTCGCCTCGCAAGGAATCGCGGCGTCTACCGCTCAATTGGTAGTTGCTAGCAGAGTCAAGGCGGATAGAAACAGTACGAATTTGACTGAACTTTCTAAAGCTTCAAGGGAAGTGACTCAAGCCACGGCAAATGTTGTCGCAACCGCTAAAAGCTGCAATCATCTTGTCGAGGAAAATGGTATTTGATTTGAAAATGAAATATAATTCTGGTCGTATTGTGTGCTGCAACGTTGACTAAAATATTGTTTTATTTTAATTACGTAGAAGATTTAGATATGTCTAACCTGAGTCTGCATCAGGCTAAGAGGCTAGAAATGGAGGCGCAAGTGCGCATCTTGGAATTGGAGCAAGCTTTAGAAAACGAAAGATTGCGCTTGGCCGCTCTTCGACGTTATCATTATCAATTTGATGGTGAGAATGAAGCGTAAACGTGAGCATGAGTTTGAATTCAGATTAAGGATACTCACCAATCATGAAAACGATATGTAGATAAACAATTGTAGCAGTTGTGTGTAAATTAATCTACCGAAGCCGTCGTAGAAGTTGGTTCCTCGTCACCGAAAAAGGTTTATTATTCATTTATTCTCAGCATTTACAGCGAGTCACAAAAGTATTCGTATGCTCCTCAGTTCTTGATCTCGAGTGATATTTTTTGAAGAAAGAATTCTTTCGAATCTCTTTATCGATACTAACATGTATCGATTGTATGTATCGATGTATGTATTAATATTAAATGTATAAATCTTATATGATAAGTGTATTGTACGAATTGTGTATGTATGTACAATCAAAATATTTACAAGTCTGATCTATCTCATCTTCCAAGCTACTTTGTACAGTTCATATTAGTACACAGTACCGCACTGTACCGTCAGACATGGTCAATGTAAAAATGTGGCAAAATGTCAGTAAAGTGAAAAGAAGAATAATTAAAAGTAAATCTATAATCGAAAAGAGAAAATCAAACGAATCTATAATAAAAAATGAAAAGCATTTAAAGAAATTGACTTTGAAATCAAGAACTGAAAAGTACGTATATTTTTGTATATATTACGCATGTATGTTTCTTGAAGATCAACGATCATTTTCCGTCATACCACGGAAATCAATTAAGTGTACTTTACTAAATGATGCTCGAAACATATTTTTATCACATCAGAATAATTTAATTTATATTATGCCATTTCTTAATCTTGTATTTAATGTAAATCTTTTTCACGTTATCTGTTATTGTATTACTCAGAGCATTTATGAGACAAAGTACATTTTGCAGAAAGTTTAACGAGCAATGATATTCAAAATGTCCAACGCGAATTTTTATTACATTTGGAGTAATTTTTATAAGAATCGTGTTTTTTCCTAAACGAGTACATTTATAAGGAGGATTGTATGTTAAGTGATCAATATATCCAAAACGTTAAACTTATAAAGATTACTAACTTTGTTTTAGATATGAATTATTTTCGTTTTCAAGTAGATGATTTATATGTTGCGTAAAATAATTAGTTTAGATTATAGAACATCAATTTTTATTACGTTTCCCTGGCGAGACACTCGAAATTGCCATACGTAGAACTTAACATATGAGATTCCTCTAACAGTCTTACCAAAGTTATTTTATGAACACAGTTTTCTCAATAAATCATCGAGAATCATCTGTGTCGCTAATTTTCTTTAAGTTAATTTACATATATTACTATACTACATTAGTATATTTTTTTAATTTATAATCATGTACTGATCACAAATTATAATACAACATATTGTTGCAAAGATTTAATAAATTGTAACAAAGTTATGTGCAATCTTTTGAGATAGCCGTATACTTTTTGACTGTTTTACTATTGCAGTAAAATCGCAGTTATTTTCAGTCGATAAGGTAGCAAATTTAGTAAAATTATCGATATCCGTTAATATCGCTCTCCATATGATCATCAAACATGGCTGCACCAACTCGTTCACACATCAGACAGCTTTGTTTCTGAAATGCATGACAAATTAAATTGATATGAAACAATTAATTTGCGAGAGACAATCGGCGAAAAATAAATGATTTGCCAATCGAGCAACGAAAAGCGGTGGCGGTGAATGTACCGAGCGATCAACTCCGCGTCTCCAAAGCGCGGTTTCAGCAGAATCAGCGGTCGCTCGCAGCATGGCGTCGGCCGAGACGTGTGTCATCCTGGAACGTAGATGAAAACGCGCAGTACGCACGGATTGCGCTAGCCGAGGGATTTTGTACACACACATATGTTTGCGCGTCAAATAAAAATCCTCTCGTGAGAGCGTGAGGACAGGTGAGAGGACGAGGTGATAAGAATCGTGGTTTTCCGAGCGGGATTAACGAACGAACGATTCCGCTTTACCGAGGATGGGATGCACATCGTCAGCGAATCGCGATATGGCGGTAAATTTTAGCTTGGGAATGCGGTATCTCGCGTAGCCGAGATGCGGATGCTGGCCACGGGCGTGCCGTGACTGTACCCGTGCGCCCGTTAAACGCACCGCATACGCAGCTCCGGCGACACGACGACGGTGGCGGTTAAATCGATGGCGGAAGCAACGGCGCGTCCCGCGGCGCGGTTTGAAGCACGCTGCGTGAGCATCGCCGCATTTCGAAGCACCAGTGGCGACTTTAATCATGGCGGCGCGATTTTTTTAGCTGCCAAGTTGTGTGTATGTCGGTTCACTGTCTCTCGCGTGTGTACGTGACGTCCCGACGTGCCGAAGGAATTCGCGCACGCGAGAGCAGCGAGCGGCTGCCGCGGGTTTCTGTGGACCGTTGCGTGCCGTGGGGACCCCGTGTGCATCCCGTCCTGGGATCTGGGCGCGATAATATCCTACGTGTCGCCGATAAAATAACGGTTCGACGAGAACAGGCGTTTTGTGGTTTTCAATTCGAAAGGGACCTTTTTTTATGTACATACCCGCGCACACGCGCGCGAATGCACGTATGCACACGTACATTTGTTTACAAATTTGCGTGCCTGATAGCTCCCACCGGGAAGTAGCTTTCGCATTGTAACGCGACACCGTTCAATCGCGACAATTGTAATAAATCTTTGTTGTAGATATGCTTGTAAATCGCCGAGGAATTTCTCCCTATTCTCATGTGAATGTCTTGTTACTTTTTAAGATACACCACGATGAACAAGCGTCGTAGAACGTCGTCAGTGGCGAGTCGCGGCACCGAGGACGACGGCGACGATATTCCACCTGAACCGACGAAAAGGAGGAAAAAATTAGATCCTGTGAGTGGTGCATGTGTTTGGTGTGCGGTATCTCGCGTATCTCTATGCATTTCTGTTTGAATGTGTATGCTAATTGTTTCTATTCTGTACAGAGTGACTTGTGCCAACAATTGTATGATGTACTTCGTAATCAGAAGAAGGAAGATGGATCGTTGCTGTGTGATGCTTTCATCCGTGTGCCTAAGCGGAGGCAAGAACCAGGATATTACGAAGTCGTTTCTAATCCTATCGATCTTCTGAAAGTGCAGCAAAAGCTGAAAACTGATGAGTATCGTGATATGGATGATCTTGCTGCTGATATTCAGCTTATGGTGAATAATGCAAAAGCTTTTTATATGGTAAGTGGTCACATCTATTGTTCAATTGTCATCTATATTCTGTCTAATCTATGCAGTTATTAATGTATATGTAAAATATTTATACTGTTATCTGTTTATCAATAGTTGCAAGACATTCCTATTATGTAATGTTTATAGCGCACGTCTCCTGAATATAAAGATGCAACTGAGTTGTGGGAGTTGTGTATAAATACTAAAAATCGTATCATGGAAGATTACGAAGATCCAGAACCCAAGGGAAAGCTTATTCTAAAAGTTGGAAGATTGGTAATTTTAATGATTCAGCTGATTTTGCCGTCATTAAATATGATGTATATTTATGTTAATTTATTAACATTTAGGCGCGCAAAGCGACGAGACAAGATGATGCAGAAGATACTTCTGAGAGTTCTACAAATCTTGATGAAGAAACTATGCAGCTATTTGAAGATTTGTTTGCAGCAGTTATGACAGCAACTGATCCTACTGACAATAACAGACCCCTTCATATCATGTTTCAACTTAAACCATCCAAAAAGGTATGCAATCTTTTCTTATTCTGACAAATCTGCTTTGTATAAAGTTGCGTTCATTGAACACTGCATCATATTTCAAGCATTCAGCTGATTTATTTTTTGTAGTAGCAATAATAGGTGATACTTTTATAAAATTTTAGAAATATTTAGCATAAATTTTTAAAAGAGAATATAAAAATTTAGAAAAGAAATATTGATGAATGTAATGGGCACACATTAACTGAATAAAAGTTACATTTATGTATTAAAATTTAATTGCAGCTCTACCCTGAGTATTACGATGTTATTGAGACGCCAATCGATTTAAAAACTATCGCAAGAAAGATTCAGGAGGGTGCATATAGTTCAATCGGTGATATGGAAAAAGATTTGATGCTCATGTGTCGCAACGCTTGTCAGTTTAACGAGCCTGGTTCCCAAATCTACAAAGATGCCAAACTCCTGAAGAAGATAATTACCGCGGCCGCGAAGAGACAAGACAGTGGATTTGGCTGTAACACCCCTAAGATCGCCACGACCGCGCCATCGACGAGAAGCAAAAGAGGTAGTCGCACTATGGCGCAATCGTTGATCGCGCAAACTGCGGCATTACTTGACGAAGATGAGGAGAGTGACGATGAGGAGGAAGAACCCGCTGAGACTGAAGAAGCTGATAATCCACAGTGGCAACTATTTCAAACCATCCGGACAGCTCCTAATAATCAAGGTATGATCACTGCTTTGCATGTGATTTATAAAGCAAACTCTATTGCTGTGCTATAAAATATTTTCTATAATAATTATATATTATATCACTCAGGTGTGCGGATGAGCGCAGATTTTTGGAAGCTTCCATCAAAGAGATTTTATCCTGATTACTATAAGATGATTAAGAATCCTATATCTTTATTACAAATACGTACAAAAATTAAGGTACATATCTCGTTGTATAATAATTATAAGACAATTGTATTAAAAGCAACTAATGCATTATTCAATTATGATTTTCAGAGAGGCGAATATGGTACTGTTAGTGAAGTAGCTGGAGATATGAATATCATGTTTGAAAATGCTAAGAAATATAACGTACATACTTCTCGACTGTACAAGGTAATAATTTGTGATTATAATTTAATTTTAATTGTGTGTAGCTATTTTTAATTACGTATAATTAAAATATTAATCTTATTTTAAACGATATACATTAAAGGCATATCAATTTCTTATAAAATTTTGAAGAATTTTGTAATTAATTAGAGAATATTACACTGCATAATTTTTATGTAATAATTTATATGTGGTTCTTCAAGGACAAAAGAAAATAACAAAAAAAGCAACGTGAACCAAAAGTGCGAATGTCGGAATGCAAAAAATATTGCAATTTAATTACAAATTGTGTCCAAAATGTTATTTGTAATTTTATATATTAATTTATATTTTTTACACTCTGTCATCCGCGTTTCTGATTTCTATTGATAATAATTTAAAAATTGTATAATAATTGAGTCATGTGCTTTTTCTATCTTATTATAGTGTGCAGTTAAATTACAAAAAATAATGCAAGAGAAAGTACAAGAACTTCTAGAGTTTGACCAGGTAATATTGCGAAACGTTTAATTATGTATAACATTCTTCAAAAATGCAGACACGATATGTCAAGTTTTTCACATTTTGCAGGATTCCGATTCGGATAGCGAATCTGAAAATAGCTCGCAACAGCCTAAATTAATTAAGCGTGCTTCGAATCTACTGACACGAGGGAAATACAAAGACAATATACCGCTGAAGAAGAGACTGTACGCGTTAGTCAAGTGTGTCATAGAATATGTTGTAAGTAATTCCAAAATGCACCGTGATCGACACAAACAGCCGACGTATAGCACGTCCGTAATTTGTTTACAGTGTGAGGACGGTCGGCAGCCTATGTTGATGTTTATGGAGAAGCCTTCCAAGAAACTGTATCCTGATTATTACCAAGTGATAGCGGAGCCCATAGACATGCTGGCGATCGAAGCCAATATTAAAGCAGAGAAGTATCAAAATGAGAACGAATTGATACAAGATTTTAAGGTACTTATCGTCTTAACTGATCAATCACGGCGGCCAGCGTTTGAATTGGTGTTTTGCTTATAAATACATTTTCTTTTAGTTGATGTTCAATAATTGTCGCCAATATAATGAGGAAGGTTCATTGATTTATGAGGATGCTAATACATTAGAGAGAGTTTTGATGGATAAGGTGAAAGAATTGGGACCCTTGCCGGATAATCCCAAGTCGAAATCCACCGCGTCAACGCCAACTAGAAACGTTGGGTATGTCATAGTTTGTATAAAAGACGGTAACATTGCTCATTTTGCGTTTTTCTCTTTTTCTTTATTGTTTCTCTTTGTCGTATTCTACATTAGGAGACCGAAAAAAGTAGTACCCCTTCACGTGCAAAAATTGCGAACTTTATACGACACAATTAAAGACTACCATGACGCAAAAGGGAGACAATTGTCTCTGATTTTCATGAAATTGCCGAATAAAAATGAGTATCCAGATTATTATGAAGTGATAAAGCAGCCTATACACATGGAAAAGATCGCGTCCACTTTAAAGAATAACGGATACGAGAATCTGGACGAGCTGGTATCCGATTTTATATTAATGTTCGACAACGCTTGCAAGTATAATGAACCGGACTCACAAATATACAAGGTTTGTACGATAAAAGTTCTTCATCTCATTAACATTATTTATAAGAGTATATGTTGTGCTATTTGCTAGAAAAATGTATATATTGCAAACATTTATTAATGCTATGTTATAAGAAAACTGTAAGATCTTGATGCAAAGCCAGGTAGCTCTGAATTATGCAGTTAGCAAAGGATTGACAATATGCAACTGCTTAATTTTTGTATTAGTCTTCAATTGTGAGATTTAATTTTCTACCACTTATCTCTCTATGTAAAAGGATACAAAAATGTCCTCTCATTCTTACTAACATTTTTAACATTGAAATGATAATCTTTGACGTTAAATATTCTTCAAATATTATCGAGAAAGAGACGAATCTCTTGACAATATTTTATTTGTGAAAAATAATTTCTCCAATTTATTTTGAAACAATTTTTTTCAACAATAGAAATCAAATTTCTATTAGAACAAGGAATAAAAATACTAACTAATATATCAATGATATTAACTTAATGAATTTAAAGAAATTCCATTTAAAGTTTAATTTAAAAAAGTATGACCAATTTTACTGTAAAATCCTTTGCAATGTGAAACATATTCTTCAATTAAAGCAGAGTACACGCGCATAGAAACTTCAATTGAAATTTCGCGGTAAAACATGGAAAGCCCAATCTGTTTACGGTCGGAGTTTGGAGGTTACGTGAAGCCATCCACTTCGCCTTCGTCGCTTTGCTCCGGCCCGCCGTGTAAAGGTCCTCTATCCGTACGATGCTCCGTACACGCCCGTGAAATATGTGGCACGCGATATTGTATAAATTAAAAAAAAAATTGCTAATTTATTGATCGTATGCTTATTCACACGTATTTAACGTTAGTGACAATTAGCGGATTTTTTTTCTCGTGCTTTTCCGACGTTTATTGTACAAAGGGCTTCCGAGTTTTTTCGTAGCGAGTCGTGCGCATTCCAAAAACCCGACAATGTTCGCGCAAAGCACGGAGCACGCATTGAATAATAATACGGCGACGCAGAACCCGTTGAAAGTTCGGCCGTGTTTCATACGCCTGTTGAGAGATGACGAGATAGATAAACAAATACGAAAAAGATACAAGAAGAACGAGACAGAAGTAAACACAATAAATATATTTTTTTATTAAAATTTTCTTGGAATTTCTGCCAAAACGTAGTCACGTTTTGAGGTCTCGAACGTGTCAAAAGTATCGACATAAGTGACGACATATAATCAATTATTTTAGGACGCCTTGATACTACAAAGATTAGTGTTGCAAAGTAAGCTGCAGCTGAGTGAGGATGAGGAAAGTGTTCCCGACGTTTCAGCTGCTATTCAAGAGTTACTAGCAACAATATTCACAGCGCTTTACAATCACCAGGATGAGGAGGGCAGGTGTTACTCCGATTCTATGGCAGAACTTCCGGAGCATGATATCGTTGATGGCAAAAAGTATGACTTTAGATATTTCAAATCTTGTTCTTTGTATCAACACTTGGACTGCCAAATAATATGTATTGGTAGCTTAAGCGTTAAGAAAGTTATTCTGTTATTTATCCGGGTTTATATATGCAAATAATGCAACAAATATCTTTATATAAAAAATAGGGTACGAGGATTGTCATTGGACTTGATTAAAAGAAGATTGGATAGAGGAGTTTATAAAAGGTTAGATCGGTTCCAAGAAGACGTTTTCACCTGCTTGGAGAGAGCGCGAAAGTTATCGCGCACAGATTCACAGCCGTTCGAAGACAGCGTGGAGCTTCAAGCGTTTTTTCTACGTACTCGCGATGAAGCTACTCGCGGAGGGGACTTGCTGCATTCGCCAGCGTTAAATTATACACTCCTGGATTTGTCAACGCAGGTTGCGGAACTCAAAAGAATAAAACAACAGCAGGAATTGAATCTGCCAAATGAAGATGAGAGCTGCGACGGAAATGAGACAAAAGTGAGTTGAATTGTCTTGTTGATATTTCACACAAGACTTACATTGTCCTGTCAGGGAATGCGAAAAGCGTTTCACTGATGCATCATGTAAAGTTTAAATTATCTTTTGCTTCAGGACTCTGAAACAAACACCAATACAGACACGAACAACAGTGACAATGGAGGATCTATGAGTTTCAACCAGGAAGTGTACAGAGCCGGCGACTTTGCGTACATCGAGCCTACTGAAAGGGGCATGGAATATAGTGTGGTTCTCATAGAAAGGCTTTGGACTAACGGAGAGGGCCAACAAATGCTGTACGGGAATTTATTTTACAGACCGAGCGAAACGTATCACGTGGCGTCGCGGAAGTTCCTGGACAAGGAACTGTTTAAGAGTGACGCCAAGGTGGCGATACCATTTGCCAAAGTAGCAGGCAGATGTTGTGTTCTAAGTGTAAAGGATTATTTTCGAATGCAGCCGGAAGGATTCCTCGAGAAAGATGTTTACGTATGCGAATCGCGTTACTCCACGAAAGCCAGAGCCTTCAAGAAGATCAAAGTTTGGAATTTTGATGCGGATCACTTGAAATTAATCCCGCGAGAGAAGCCGTTGGAACCGAAGCGCGTGATTTCTGTATATAAAGAGCGATTAGAGAAACACAAAGAGGAAATCGCCGAATTGGAGGAAGGAGAGAAACTGCTGGAAAAGGAAAGACCTGTGAGTAACCTGATATTATTTCCCTTATTCACTTAAAATGCCTAGCTGTTTCTTCGGTTAATTCAATTAAACTTTGCATATTTTCCATTGCAGAATGTGATATTGTATAATCCGGAAGATACGGAAAATACATATTACGAGCAGTACAATACGTGCGTGGGATCGGTGAAAACAGGCGATTTCGTTTATGTAGCGACAGATGGGGGCAGACAGCAAATAGCACAAATCGATGCTATATGGTCGACCAAAGAGTAAGTGATAAATCTATAACGCTTATAGACATGTATAATATGCTAAATATTTATTGTCTAATGTATCCTATTTGTATGCTTTTAGTGGGAAATGTTATTTCAAAGGCCCCTGGTTGCTAATGCCTACAGAAGTGCCACATACACCTACAAAATTATTTTATAAGCAAGAACTGTTTTTATCCACCGTAGATGGTACTCATCCCATTGTAGCTATTGTTGGAAAGTGTGCCGTCCTTGATTACGGAGAATACATATGTAGTAAGTGTTCGCGCTGTTCAATATCCGTAAGAGTGAAATAGGAAACTTCAATATCGCAAGTTTGTGCCTTAAAAAATCAAGTATGGATTTAAAGATGAATTACGAATTAATTTGCCGGTATTGAATATTTATCTCGGTATTGGCAAGATTGTATTTTCCCTGAGAAAAATTATTCAGATTATCCAGGGACTTAATTCACACAATGATATAAATCACTATATATTTATACGTTAAATTTCAGGCAGACCGACGGAAATCCCAGAGGATGACATATACATTTGCGAGTCGCTGTACGATGAAAGTAAGAACTTTATAAAGAAACTCAACCAGGAAGGTTTAAAGAAGTTCAACCATTCGTCGACGGTGACCGAAGACGAGATCTACTTCTTCCGTAGGCCTATCAATCCTGCCAAAGTACGTTTAAGAATTGAATATATATACTTCCTTAACTTAAATCCGCACGCGATCTATTCGGCAGATAATGGAATATCGTTCTAATTCATTCTTCTACGCGACTAACTGTAAAGTATATTGCTTTGCATGTCATGTGTGTGTTATAGGTTTCGAGCGATGTGGCACAGACGCAAAATCAAGTCAAGTCCGTCACGCCCAGCTCGGCTCAATTTGAAATGGTAATTGCTAATCGCAGAGTCTTAAATCTCTTGTTTTTAATAACGAGCAATAACGAATCTCGCACGTTCCTTCAAAATCACACGCAAGCTCTTGTATCAAAAGCTTCATTGCTAATATTTCCTTTGTGTGTGTGTATAAATATACACACACACACGTATATATATATATATGTAAAAAGAAGAAACATGCTTCTTTCTTCAATCTGGATCTTGATTGCCCAAGTATTATTTGCGTGTGATACGAATATTTCGTTGTAACAACAGAATGCATCTACACGCATGTTTTTTTATCTATGCCGGCATATTCATTTTTCTTTTTGTTTTGTTTTATGTGCAACTATGTGTTAGTATTTGTTAGCGGTTCTACCGTATACGACAATCTTAAGTCAGAGCACCTGTTGGGTTTATCGCTAATATATTACGAACGTAAAGCATCACCAAAAAGATCTTGCTTCCATGTCATTCTAATCCAACTAATGTAAGAATGAAGAATTCGCAAAAGTCGACTAATCTGTTTATAAAAAAAAAAGAATTCAAATTAATAGATATACATGTTGGTGTCCTGTGTATGCATAATCGTATACGTACACTCTTTTTTTGATTTTGAAAGAGTATCGACTTTGAAAACAGACACACGTCCGATAGATAGATTAGATATGCGGAGTGTAATTGAGTTGGAAAAGGAATCACGAATAGCTTTCTTTGCATAAACGCAAGAAAAAAGAGAAATGACATTGCTTTTGTCGTATGTATTAACTTCTGCAACCGAAGAGAGAGAGAGAGAGAGGGAGCCGTAAAAATGTATTTTCCGCTATCGGTAGTAACGGATAACGAAGGTAACATTAAGCATAAATGGTGTAGGAAGCGTCACCATTGTTACCGAAGCTGGAACCCGATGTACTAAGCATGGGGGTAGGATTAGGAGTAGGAGTTGGGGAGGACAGCATGGACGCTAGTGGTCCACCATCCGTGGGATCTACGGAAGCTCAACCGGTGCTCTCCAATACTCAAACACCTGTGTCGACTAAGAAGGTAGGCTTTACCGTGACCATTTATTTTTTTTCTTTTTTTTCTTGTTCACTTTTATCAACTACATTGTAATATGTCATATACATAAATATATATATATATTTTTTTTTGTTTATTTCACCTTCTTTTTATTTAGAGAAATATGCCAGCATACATACCTCCTTTTCGTTTCTCTTGCACCGTTTGAGACACCACTTATCTTAAACAAAATAGATCGACAATTTGATGTTGTCTCTGTTTTGAGAAATGTAAAAAGAGAAAAAAAGGCAATATATTGTTCGTTCACAATGGCGAAACGGTGACAATTATAATTTGTGTTTTCTCTTCTGTTTAGAAAACGACGGGTAAGAAATTAGTTACGGGCTATATTTTGTATTCGAGTAAAATGCGAACGCAGATTACACAAAACAATCCTGAATCGTCCTTCGGAGAGATTAGCAGAATTGTTGGCAACGAGGTATTTATTTCTTTTTCACTGTTGATTTTTTAGTTTATTGTAAAGAAGCTTTGATGAAGGAATGTGTATGCAGAATAAATCTTCTCATACCTGATTATCTTTGCTTGAGCATTCAAATTTGTTGAACTATGCAAGTTCTTATCATCTGACAACACATTTCTGCGTTAAAATGGAGATAATTAAATGCGAGAACATGATTAATCGTGCGGAACATATCGTTTATTCAGCATACTTGATCCTTTATCCAAACAGATTATGTCATATCTTAATGGCTACTTTCTATAAATGTTTGCAAATTTACAAATGCATAAAGAGAAATAATTGGGTAAACTACTATAGTAGTATAGAAATAATTTGTATTCTACAATTAGTTCACACATTTCCACAAATTTGATGTATATATACTGCATTGCAATTATATTGTCTATATATTAATTTATATTTTTATATATTCTTGTACAAACCTTAACTGCATTATCGAAATCTTTCGTGAACAAAGGAGTGTGGCCATCGTCCTAAAACAGTTGTCGGGTCGTTTTTAATATGATCTTGCCAACCGTTTGTCATGGAATATGGAAGTCAACGTAAATGGAACTGATCACGCAAAACGTAAAATGACTTTCGTTTCAGTGGCGAAAACTGCCGGCAGGGGAGAAGCAAGCCTGGGAAGAGCGGGCGATCAAGATGAACGAGGACGGCGGCCAGCTGAAAGGGACCACTACGGTGGGCACAAACGCCATACAGGATGTAGTGTACGAGTGCTGTTGGGATAACTGCGACTGGCAGTTCGAGGACATGACCGACTGCATCGATCATTGCATCGCGGAGCAAAACGGTCATGTACAATCGTCATTCGCGAACGCTCCTAGCGGTGGGTACAATCGCGCAAGGATATCGCAGTCGTATCGACGTTAAGGCAATGCGAGAAATTAAATTCTACCGGCGACGTGTTACAGATGTGGAATATCAGTGTCAATGGCGTGGCTGCGGTAGAACGAAGAAATCCATTCCGCCGTTCCCAAATGTACAGAGACTCGCGAGACACGTCAAAGAAGTGCACATTCTCAAGTCCCACGGACGTATAATACCTCCTTCCGAAAGAAGCAGGTAGGAACTGTTTTGTTTTCTTCAAGATAAACTAAAACTCAGAGTTTTATCTTATCAATGAGAATTCTCTAAAAGAAATCTAAAAACCATCCACAGAAGAATATGGTTCTGTTACTTATCTATTCTTCAGAAACTTGGTTCGTGAAAAGCGTACAACTCAAAAACTATCGCTATTTTATTTCACTGAGAAAAATTGGAGAATCCAATTAGAGAATCTGACACTAAAAAGATATCCGAGTCTTTTGAAACATCCTTTACATTATAAATCGCGCCATATATGCAATTATTTTCTTACAGAAATTATATGCCTTCAAAGGGACCGACGGTATTGCCACCGATGGAAACAGGTAACCAATTATCAGAAAGATAATTTATATCATTGTAATACGAATTAGAGAAAAACACGTTTCACAGAAACTTCAGCAGCCGCAACTCAAACGAGCAATTTACCTGCCGCCAAGCAACCAGAGCCAATGTTTGTCGCAGTACCGCCGAGACCGAGCCGCGTATTGCATTCCGATGCCTATTTGAGGTAAGGCATAATTTGCAGACAAGTTTTTTTTTAACATCGTGTTAAAGCGAATTGTTCTACTTTTCTTTTTCTTGTTTACTCACATTTAGGTACATCGAAGGATTAAACGTAGAGAATCGTTACATATCAAATTGGGATAAGCAAATGAACGCCAATCCGGATAATACACAAATCCCCGATGTAACAAAGCTGCCCGCCGAGTGGTTGGGCAACGGCGTGGGCAATCACGGGAACGTCGTGAACGCATTATGGACACTCAGAAACATGATGATGCGGGATGTGTTGGCCATCAATAAAACTTTATAGTTTATAAATTGTTAAAATTTATAATTTTTGACATGCAACGCAACCTACACTATGCAGATCAGTTGACGTTAGATGAAAGACTGATGATATTCAATCATTTGACTGTAATGGTGTTTGTAAAAAATTTTTTTTTCCAATTATAAGCATGATTTTTTTTAATTTAAATTAAGTTTGTGTTTTTGGTAATATGTTTGGTAATATATTTAAAAAATTTAGTTAGGCAAGTGTTATACGACTGTGTTTAGAATATTTAATTAGAAATTTTTATAAACTTTGCAATATTATTAGCGAGAAATTTGTTTTGTTTTTTTTTTTTTTTCTTTCTTTTTTTTTTCTTTCTTTTTTTTATGCAAAATATGTATACTTTTTTGTTTAATTTTCATTAAATTTTGTTCTCCAAAATATTTTTAACCGTATATTGTTTAAGTATACGATGTATGTACATAAAAAAGAAAATCGTACTATATAGAAAACCCATCATTATGTAAATACGTCTGCTAATTTTCATTTTCACTTTTCGAACAAAATTTTATACTTTCTTGTATAGCGCAAGTAATACATATTCTTGTATCAAAAAATTGAACAAAACAAACTCTTCCTATATTAGAAGCATCATGTAACGAATGGAAGTTGTACATATATATAGGACCTACGAAACTTGCGAAAAGCGGTATGCTGATAATACAACATGTCGCACTCCTTTATCAGTGCTGCTCGAATATTCTCAGAGGATACTGACAAAACATAGTGAGATTAATCAAATGATCTATTTGCTATTGTTCAACGGTTGGAAGGCGAACGGAATCCTAAATCTCATATGCAACAATGTAACACCTCGTAATACATTATTTTTTAAGAATTTTCGATATAATCGGAAGGATTTTCAAGATATGCTGACAAATACAAAACGAAATTTTTACTACAGTATTGTGTACATACGTTTCTTGATGCGGTAGAATTAACTACATTCTTTTTGTACTCGAACGGCGTAGTATTTAGCCCTGAGGACTTATATATCTTGGCTAAATAAATTTTCGCTGTTACTAACATGGATTATATTTCACTGACGAATGTAGATCATTCTCTGAAATTTAATTCAGTCATCGAGCTGTATTCAATCTTTTGCATGGTGCATTTGTTAACAATTTGATTTTACATTCATTGGTAGTGAGTAATTTAGGCATTCTGATGTAGAACATGTTTGTCCTAACACGCATTATTTAACATTTCACAAAACATTGCATATTTTTGTACATGTGTGTAATGTATCGATAATTTGTATAATTAGCTTTCTATGTAGATTGCCATAGTGCCAGACTTTCTAGGAGAAAGCACTTCAATTTAATAATAACAGAATGCTGTTACTAATAAAATTTGTAGTAACCGCTGAAAACTGGTATTATAGCAAATAGACTTACTTTTGTCTGATATAATTTATTACCTCACTGATCAAATTTTTGTGCAACACATGCTTTTTTATGTATATTTTATATTTTGCCACATTGAAAAGTAATCTTGATTTTTACGTTATTTTAAAATTAATTAAATGTTTGACGATTCTTTCTCTAGTAATTGAAATATCATCATCTATAAAAAGTTTATGAAAAGTATACAGTATCTTTGTTTTAAAAATCACTGACTCTGCCACTGGTCTGCCAATCTCCCCATTTAGTAGGCTCCTCAGTATTTGTTACGAGTTCTCCAGTCCGTGGATCAGTTTCCACTAGCACTAAGTCTACAAACCGTTCTCGCGGTCTTACTTCTATTAGAAAAAAATTAATACAAAGTTTTCATCAACTTTTCATAGAAGACAGAAGTTGACACGGTCAACTTTCTGTTACATAAGCTCATGTTACATTATCATAAAAAAAGTTTGCTTGATACCAGCATCTTTACGAATTGTGTTTGTTATCAATTACATACTTGGTATCGGTTGCAATTTAAGTTTCTCATGGAACTGTTTCATTCGCTGTGACTCTTGCACATTTTCCAAGGATTCGCCTGAAGCTTCCTTCATTTTTAATAATAAAGCACCTAAACAAATTATCTATTTAATTTTAGTGTATTTCAGTTCAAAGGGAAAGTAGATGAAAAATCTATATTTAGATATAATGGGCTAATCTATATTTCCAGAAATATAGATTAGTCTATCTCAAGTTTGTAAAGGTAAAATACTCTAAAATATCGAACGACTTGTACTTGTGACAAATTGCCTGCAACTTCTTATCTGCAGACTCGTCAAGATATGATTTATGCTAGTCATTATGTAAACTGGTAGTTTTACGGGGAACTACCAGGAACTACAAGAGCCTTGTGACAAGGTTTCCTCTAATCGTGTGGAAACATCAACGAGACCAATAATTTTGTTAATAAAACACTATCGCCTGTGTGTCAAATGCAGCATTTTCCATTAATTCTTTTTTGTGTGATAAATATCTTGGATCTTATAATTTTATTATAAAATTTCCAATTTCATTCGATAAGCGTTAACGTCAGTCATTAATTATCTAAATATTGTGACGGAAAACTTTTTATCATTATGGAAATCAGATGGTGATATAAAGACTAATGCTGCATAATTTGTCCATCTTAGCAATTGCTACGAAAACACACTTTACAATATAAATATCGTAATTTATTTATAACTTTTATTCTACAAAACAGATCCAACGTTTTTATGATAAAGATACATCAATCTAGCGTCGTATCAAAATAAATTACTTCTTTTAAATATCTCATTTCTCTAACGTAGGTAATTTTTAATTATCATGAAAAAACTTTTTCTAGCGTTTCAGAAGTCCGTCACACGGCCTTTCCTCTCCCAGTCGCCATAACGAGTTGGTTCTGGTCCACGAGGACCACCAATTTCGCCTGTATCCGGATTTGTGTTGTCAGGGAACGCTTTCAAAGGTTCCTTCTCCTGATAAGGATGCTGGCCTTCCTTCAACTCCTCTAATTTCTCTGTTACGTTGGAAGTTCATCTTCAGCTTTGAAATCTTTCAATCTTTGGATTACCACACTAGCTACTGCGTGTAACGACATACCTATAGGAGCGCGTTCACGCAATTTTTTCCTAAATTCACGTAATCTTGGGCTCTCATCGGTGTCTGTGCTCTTGGATGCGAATAAACGTGTGAATCCTTAAAAAAAATGGTAAAAAACGTTACAAATGTATATTTTATTTAAAATTTCCATAAACATATAAGATGCTGATATTGTTTATTTGTAAATTTATACCTTTCAAGTAAAATGGTGACAATTCACGCGAGCTTTTCAAAATTGACGTACAGTTGATTCCTGCCATTCTTCAAATTGGTTTGAAAAATCAAGCCCAATTCAGTCAATATATATACTTTTTTTCTCAGTTTCTCCAATTTTCCAATTCCTTGAAATTATACAAAAGATTAAATATATGTAATTTTTGTAAAAAATGATGAGCTTTAAATCGTTTTTGTCGCGTTAAAAATACATTGACACATGACATATGACAGTTATTAGAACCAAGTAATTTAAACATAAATTGTACTTTACATTAGAAAACTAACATCTTAATTAATTTTAAGTAGGATTCCATACATACTAAACTTTTAAATTATTATTAATTGCAAATGTTGTCATTTATTACGTTTAATTGACAAATACCTTATTATTTATATTTACTAGATGTGTCGTCAAGAAACAATTTGCAAATCAACTACTTCTTAAGCAAATATTCGTACTAAAGTAAAGTGCTGATAAAACGACAATTCGCACGAAAGCAATTTTTTATAGGTTAAATATCTTAAAAAACAACACATTTCCAAGCATCTCAAAGTCAAGTTCAGATTATTCGATATATATAAATGCAATAAAAATTATGAAAAGAGGTTATGTTCTTCTTCGAAAAATCTTTATAATCTTCGAGTTACCTCATATGATGGCGCTTTAACTGTCCTTCACTTAGGGACCCTAGAAGTAAAAGAAATAAAAATTGAGGGACGCGATTAGGCGTTTTCTGGCCGTTGTGCGTCCTGCAATCTTAATATTGTGCTTCAAAGTTAGGTTTAGCATGTGTTATGTGACTATAAAGTAAACAAATTGAATTCAGATTAAATACTGATAAAACATAACACAGAAAGATGGATTTACAATACAAGTGTGTATTTTATTTTTTTAATATCTATAAAGATCTTATATTACTTTGTGATAAACTAATTAAAAAATTTTGTTTTCTTGCCAAAATAAGTTTAAAAAAATATTTACAAGTGGAAGATTGAACATGACAAAAATTTATTTTTTATAATTTTAAAGATAATGTTTATTTAAATATATTTACAGAACAATTCATCCTGTAAAATATTTACAGGATCATCTTGTAAGTACCTTATACTTTTCAATCAAACATATATATTTTATCAAAAAATATTTTATAAAAAAAAATCTGACATTTGCAGGAACAAGGTGTTCGACCAGACAACAGAAAATTCTTATCATTTCGGCCAGTAAGCATAAATGTGTCATCAATTGTTCAGGCAGACAGTTCAGCAATATTCAAGTTGGGTGACACAACTGCAGTTTGTGGCATTAAAGCTGTAAATACATTTTATAATATTTTATGATATGTTTAAATATATTTTTATATATTTTAAAATTGTCATGTGTTATATTACACCAATTTAATGATATCTTTTGTTTTTATCCTTTTTATAATTTATAAGGTATTTAGTTATATATTTTTTATTATGAATTGTATAAGTAAATAATCATTTTTATTTGTTATTAAAGTAGTGATTAGTTGAAATTATGTTTTCAGGAACTAGCTGTACCAAAAAGTGATACTCCAGATCATGGTTACATAGTACCAAATGTGGAATTGTCTCCTCTGTGTTCCTCCAAGTTTCGTCCAGGCCCACCGAGCGAACAGGCACAGGTTCTTTCTAAATTGATAGATATCATATTGAGCAATTCAACAGCGCTTGATTTGAAAGATCTGTGTATCTGTAAAGGAAACTTAGTATGGGTCTTATATTGCGATATTGTGTGTTTAAATTACAATGGTTCAGTCATAGATGCTTGCACCGGAGCAGTAATTGCTGCTCTCAAAACATGTGAGTTTTGTGTGTGCACGCTATTGTCTAAAAATGTGTAAGAATATAACTTCTTTTCTGTATCACTGTATTGTAAGAAACAATTTATTTTGCAGTGAAACTACCTGAAGTGAATTATAACAAGGAAACAAAAGTCACTGTTGTATGTGCAGAAAATAAAATACAGCTGACTGTGAAAACGCTACCAGTATCTACGTCGTTTGCTTTATTTGAGAAGTCAGTTTCAATTTATTGCTGATAAATATCTGTAGTTAATTTGTCATTCTAGATGTCTTTTTTTATTTGTACAGTCAATTGTTGATAGCTGATCCTACAGATGAGGAGGAAGATTTATCATCAGGAAGATTCTCTATCGTGATGGATGATGAGGAAGAAATTTGTTATATACATAAACCTGGTATGTACTTTTTAAATTGTATTATTGTTTCATTATCACGTGTATAATTATGTAAATTATGTAAATTTAATGCAGGTGGAATCCCAATCTCTACCAATTTACTTTTTAAGGCATTAGAAATGGCAAAAACGAGAGCAAAGTTAATTAGATCATTAATCGATGCTGCTATATCAACACTGAAAGTAAATATGGAAACAGATGATTAGAGTATTTTTTTTAAATAAAACTGTTTTATCATTCTTATTTTTTCTTTAATTCATATAGATATGAAATAATTATTGCATAAAATGTCTTTTTAATCAATTTTATTCCAAATTTAGAACAAACCTATCATGTTAAATATAAATCATATTTTGATAAAAAAGTAAAATAAAATTTTAGAAAAATATAAAAAGATACAACTAAAAAGAATGAATTTAATGTTTACAAAAAAGAGATAGCATATTGTGAGAGAGAATATTTTTATTATTTTTTCACACCTTAATAGCACATTATTAAATGTTCACACAAATACACCATTTATAAAAAATAACTTTACACATATTTAATTTAATAAATAGTATTTAATAAATTATGCTTAATGTGATATAAGATTATAGTAATATCTTATTTAATAACTTAATATAAACATGCTTTTTTCATGATTCTCAAAAATTCCTCTTGTGATATCTCTCCATCGCCATCTTTATCTGCCTCATCAATCATTTCTTGTATTTCCTCATCTGTCAGATCCTCTCCCAATTCTTGAGCAACTCTCTTCAAATTTTTAAAAGATATCTTTCCTGTATCATCATCATCGAAAAGACGGAAAGCTCTTAATACATCTTCTTTCATATCTTTCTCTGACATTTTCACTGTCATTATATTCAAGAAATCTTCGTAAGAAAATTTGCCAGTGTTCTCTGGATCAACATCTGCTGTGAGTCTCTTCAATTCCTCTTTTGTTGGTTCAATTCCTAGCGCCCTAATGGCAACTTTAAGCTCCTTAGTGGCAATTTTTCCAGTGCTATCCGGATCAAACAAATCAAAAGCTTCTTTTATATCTGCTTCCTTCTCATCTGTTAGTTCAATTTTTTTCGTATTCCTCTTACGGATAGCACCACTGCCTTGCTTTTTAGATGTGGATGCCTGAAAAAAAAATTTAATTGTTACAAAAATTATCCTTAAACAAATAATACATAATAATTTCTTAAATACACAAAAACATATTGCTCATATAAATATAATAGTTTTAATCTCTTTAAAAAGATAAAAAATAATTTTAATAAATTGAAAATAAAACACTGAAATTAAAAAAGAATTTGACAGAAATGTGAAATGACAGAATCTGACGAAATCAGAAACAAACTAATTACCATTTTCGATCCGCAATTTATCTTACACTAACTTTACGAAGCAACAATTGTGTGTTTCTAATTATCGATGCCAGATCGTTTAATTATTCTCACTAACATGCATTCATGGATATTATATTCATGGAACGAAAAGGTTCAGTTTGATCGATGCCGGTCGCGCGCAAACAATTCATAAACGCTTCACAGAGAATACACGTGTATGTATAGAGCACACACGACACGAAAATATACTGTTGATCGCTAAATTAGGTTAAATCAGAATAGATAAAATTCTCAACTCTCGTATGATGTATTTCGCCGTACAAATTTCAAACATTCAAAGAAAAAGAAACAATCAATATAAACAAACTCATTTAGGTTTTACTTGGCATTGTTTGTGTTTTTATTGTTTTTTTTTCCTTTTTTGAGCAAATTAATATTATGCATTATATATTTATTTTACCATATTTTATTTTTGTTTCTTTCATTCAATATGAGTAATATGACTTGTGTTACTTTAGCTAATCTTATACTTTTTAAAAATTGGTTAGTTAGACAAATTTTTGGTTAAAATTACTGGCTGGCACAGTCACCGCAGTACAACTAAAATGAAAAGCTATAACCCAAAACAAACATTTCCTCAGTCGATTCAGTTATCATCGGTTGTTAAATAGTTTTTCGTCATTTTTTTCTACTCTTCCTTCACTTCTTCTCTGACCTCTTCTATTTTTTCTATATTTCCTTCATCCTGTTCTTTGTCATTTTTTTCCTTTTTTATTTCTTCATCTATCTGCTGTCTTCCTCCTCTTTTTTCATCAATGCATCTTCCATATTTTCTCTCTTTTGCTCCTCATTCTTACTTTCATTCTCACTTCTGTTCTTCTTTCCCTCATCTTCCGTATTTTCTCTCTTTTGCTCTTCATTCTCACTTCTATTCTTCTTTTCCTCACTTTCCGTATTTTCTCTCTTTTGCTCCTCATTCTCGCTTCTATTCTCCTTTTCCTCGCCTTCTGTATTTTCTCTCTTTTGCTCCTCATTCTCGCTTCTATTCTGCTTTTCCTCGCCTTCCGTATTTTCTCTCTTTTGCTCCTCATTCTCATTTTTATTCTCTTTTTCAGCTGTTTTGCTCTTTTCTTCCGTTTGAAATTTATTTTTATTTTCCCTTTTTTCTTGCCTCTCTTTTTTCAGCTCTATTTGCTTCCAATCCTGTATTTTGCTATTCACTTCATTGTCAACATCCATCTCCGTCTCCATTTTCATCTTCCTCTTTCTGCAATACTCTTCCAGAGAATACTTACGGGTGCTTGCGACCTCAACAAGGATCTCTGCTATCCAACAGGCCACTACATCGGCCAAGAGGCGCAATTGCTGTGTTGCTCGATCGTCATTTCGGGTATCCGCATATGCTTCGTAAGATATCAAGCGTCTCATTATCACATCTGCGATCTCGCGAATATCCTTCCTCGGTGTGAAGCACTGATATTCCAAAATACTCTTGACAAAGCGTTTCGCTATCAGATATTGGCACATTGCCGCGTCTCTGTCCATTGTCGTGTCTTCTATATCTTCCGAAATTTTTCGCATCCATTTTCTGTACGCGGCAATCGCGTTTTTATCTTCGTTCTGCGTTTTTTTCGACGAACTTGCGCGGCTTCCCTACAAGAAATTTTGTCGCCAAATTTTTATGGAATTACGAGCTGAATCAAGATCGAGACATATAGTATTGCGTAAAATTAGATTTGATACATTACTCTGGAGTTAAGCAGGACTCAGCTTCGATGATCCTTATAAGATTATCCACGAATGTCGGTGGTAATATCGATGCTCTTTCACGCAATGTGATTAACGCACGTTGCTTTGTTGGTCGCGCTAAATCTTTGATCCGTTGATTCGTTGATACAGATTCTACAGTGGATCGCGGTACACCGTGCTGTAAAATTAGTAAATTGATAATATAATTTACAATACAGAAAAAAATATTATAACAATCATATAGCATATTTTGTCTACTATACATATTGTGTTATATTCACTTTCATGATTTTTGACACTAAAGCCTTCGAACGAAGCTTTTGTATTCTTTCTCTTTTTGATTTTGGATAATCTTCTAACAAATCATCTTGTTCACCTTTAGCAATTTCCATTTCTACATCAGCTTGCTTTACACCTAAAGACATATTGTTTTTTGCAGCCATGATTGTGTTCCTATAAACTGTAATATATATTTCTCCATTAATTTAAATTTACAGAAATTTACCTATTAGTTTATAATCGCGAAGTCGTTATACTTACTTAGTTATTTGTTTCTTTACCGGAGTTTCTAAGAATTACATTTCACATCCATTTTATACTTGACGAATATTGAAATTTGAAAATATCATTTTGTATGGATGAATAACTTATGTGTGAAAATGATACATGCTTTTCGTGATTTGTTCCATGTCGGTTTATTGAATCATCTTCATAAGAATTTTGACTGAAAGCTGAAAGCATCAGGCGCTATGTACATTCATCGATAGGTGATTAACTTCTGTCAGCTTCGAAAAATATTTTTATAAGATGATCGCAACTTTTTGTTATTCATATAGATTTTACTTTAATTTGAAATTGCTTAAATACCCAAATATTATTTCTAAAGTGTAAGAATATTGTTTCTACGGTGTAAAAACAATTTAATTAAACGATGTTTCGCAAAAATAAATTAACTTAGAATTAAATTAGAATTATAATTCTATAATTAACTCATAATAACTTAACAAATAATAAATTATACCTGACGAGACAACATAAAATCCTGCATTGTAAATCTAGTTCGCGTAAAATTACCACTTATTGCATAAGTAAATTTTTTGTAACATAGTGCAATTAATCAAACATTTATAAAAATTTCAAGGTTAAATTGATTATGCAAAAGTGCCATCTTGCTAATTCAATGACAAAATTTTCGGCCTGTTATCGACAAGCAATAATCACAAAAATTGTTTTATCAACTATCGATGTAGAGTAACTTCATCTTCTGATTAATCCAATCCGCCTAAAGATATCGTTACCGTCGCCATGGACTTTGCTCGCAAAGCAGCCCGTCCGTTTATTAATCGATCATTCCGGGGAGTCGCTGTGTGTCGTACGTGTTTGTCGCGGGCTCCGGACGGCCTCGAGAGGCAATCCGAAAGGCAGTGCGAGAATAATAGATACACACACGTAAAGAGATGTAGTTGTTAAGCGAGCGAGGCGCGTAACGGCCGGTGAGCGTGTGTGTTCTCCGTTCCCACGGTTGACAGTGCAAGGAACAATCGAGATGTGATCGCTCGCGCAGCTCGACATTAACGGTGCTCGCCGCGAGGCTTGATCTTAACGCGAGGAAAAAACCGTTTCTCCGGAAGAGGATCGCCACCCGATCACCGATCGCACCGAGACACACCAGAGCTATGACGAGATAACAAATGCAGAATGAGATACAGTAGCAGCAGCGGCAATCTATTCAGTTATGCGGTCCTCACATTCACCCTTACTCGTCTCAAGGGTGAGTTCATTACATGGTATCACGATGTACGCATCGCATTGCATATACAAAGAACGTCTCGTGCCGTTCTATTTTGCCTTTTATTTATAATGTCATCGATTGCCGCGGGCGCGCATTGTGTTCGCATGCTTCGCTCGAAGTCGGACGCTTAAGGGCTATCAGAAAAATGGGACAAGCTCTATATGCCATGCATAAAAGTGCATACGCGCGCGCAAGCCTCACGTGTGACTCGCAAAGTGCGTATGTGTCTGCGTGTCTGCAATCTCGCGTTTTCAAATGTTACAATTGTATCATCTGCTCCGAGAAACAAGTCGAATAAAATTCAGATAAAATTTTACATTAAAACTGACATTTGATAAAATCAAGTTGCAACTCTAATTAAATCTTCTTTAATTATTTTAACTAATTTCGCAGTTATCAAATTTTGCAAAAAAATGTTTAAACGTTAATGATTTAAGTAGAAAAAACATATAATTGTCTATTATAAATAACTTATTATTAGTTTCTTCTTTCCACAGTTATACTTATTTCTTTCTTGTCTTAGATATGTTAATATTTACAGTAAATGCAGAAGGTGGAGTTGCCTGTAAAGATCAACACGGACGCTTTTATGAAAGCGGCTTCCATTACATCCCTGGACCTGAACCATGTACCTTTTGTGTTTGTGATAACGGCAATCCGAAGTGGTGTAAAGCATTTATTTGCAAATTTCTCGAGGTGCATAGCATTGACAATTTAATAATTAAGTAAACTTAATTGTGTTTTAAGTATCATAATTAGCATTTAGCTATTTGCAGCTCAAAATTATGATAATCAGCATAATTTATAGCTTGAAGAGTTATATAAAGTTTATTTTCTGTGTCAGGAAAATTGCAAATCTTTTCGTCGAGGTGACACCTGCTGTGAGTTTATTTGTCTGGATGATATCAATCTCTCATCAATGTCCAATGATAAGGCTGACGGAACGGGAACTAACGCAATAGATGGAAATGCAGATTATGACATAGGTTTACGATCGGTTGTCAGTTTTGTGACAGCAATATTTTCCCTCAGTATGTTATTTTTTTTGATACATCGTCTGCGCCAACGTAAAATACAAGGTAATGCTTTCGTTATGTAGAAATATTTTGAGTCTCTTGATTAGAAATTTCGATTAGTTCTTTACCGTTTAACAATTGCTATTAGAATAAACGTTACTGCATTCATATTTTTAGATATATTATATACAAATGTAATAATGTGGTGTAGTAGTTTGTGTGGCAGGTCGCGAAAACAGGCAATGCGGAGAGGACCAAAGAAACTTAAGTAATATGGGATATTTGGAGAGAAGCGGGTTGCCTCACGGGGTGCCCATGGATGACATACCTTGCGGGACAGGCTACTCACTGTGGAAACCACCCGGTAGCAATTACTTTCCGCGCGGTGAGGCGCCGCCGCCCTACGAGGAAGCGGTCGCCGCTGCGAGAGCGGAGCAGGCGTTGCTGTCGATAAATCCGCACACGTTATTGCCAATGAATTTCTCCGACAATTACATGCCAAATGTCAACAATCACGCGAGCGTAGCAGTGGTCGCGGACGCACAAAATGAATTGACCGCGAACACGCAAGCATCATCCAACGACAGTCACATCAGCACGCCCTTGATATCCTCGTCGAGCAGACCGCTCTCCAGTCCCGGCGCGTACGCCAGCAGTTATCGTCCGGTGAGCCAGAGCAGTGCGACATCCACCATCGGTTTGAACACGAGCACCTCTAGCACAAGTTTCACAATGGGAACAAACACATACGAGAATCTGCCTATCTCGTCGATCGGCGTGACGAGTTTCAACGAGGGTCAACACTCCGGGCTGACCAGCAGCAACGCACAGCCGCTGCTACCGATATCGCATTCCACTATACCGAAGAGTTATCGCCAGCATACAACAACTTTCCCGCGCCAGAACGGCGGCGGCGCGTTCACGATATCGGCGACCCTGTCAAATTCGGACGTGTCCGCCCATCGCACGATCCCGCGAACGCTGACCACACGCGTCATCAGCAGAGCGAAGGATGTTTTGACAGACTGTTCGGCGAAGGATTACCTTCGCTTGTCACCGAGCAGCATCGCGGCGCCGCAGGGCTTGTCGCATCCCATGCAGCTGTCCCCGAGCAGTTACAAGAGCACTAAAGAGTCGGACGCATTTTATGCGGACGCCTCTATAGCGTCGGCATCCGGTCTGTCGCAAGCATACACAACCGATACAACGGACGTATCTGAGAAGACTCGCGAATTTAAAGTAACAAAAATTACAATTTGTTGTGATATAAATTACTAAGGTACATGAGTTGAATACAATCTCTTCTCTCTCTTTATTTTGTGTTTACAGCCTTCGCTGAACATAGCCAACGAGATCAATGCGAGCGGCAGCTTCGACTCGGTGACGTGCACTTGTAGCATGCAGGCGTTACCAACTCTGCACGACGACACGGACGATTATCGGAGCGAGTGCGAAAACTGCAAAAGCGCGACGGGTTCACGTTATTATCTGGATAACGAGGACGAGCTGGTCACGTCTCTCCACGAGACCATGACGTTACACAGGAGACCGGATGAAGCAGGATCAAGTGCCACACCACAGTATTATAGAACTTCACTTACACTGCCGACGAGTACACGCCAACGTACAAGGTATTTTTTCTCTCTGAATTAAAACTAAAAATTAGAAAATATCTCGATTAACGTTTATTGCGTATAAAACTACGGATTGTTGCAAATTTTTCAAGTGTTTTTACCCTTCTAGAATCACCGGGGCTCGTGAAAATTGGTTCAACACTATGCCAGAAAGTTCTAGCGGATCTTCCGACGAAAACTAAGTATTACAAAAAAATAGAGGAAAATGTTTAAGCGCGCAAATAAGATTATTACACACATCACACGCACACATACAATATCTACATGTTACGTAAATATAAAAAAACTATCTATACAGAGTGTCCCAGAATTATCGCGCTTCTCCTCTCGGATAAAATCGTTGGTTGTACGTCAATGCATCAATAATTTCTGCGTCGTATTATAAGATACACAATGAAGATGTTCAATTTATTACGATGTAAGGAAAACTCTTCTAAAGTTTCGCAAATCTTTTCATTCATTCGGTGTGATGGCAGCTTAAGTCTTCCAAAATTCTCTACTCTTTGTGTGTAATATTTGAGAGAAACTGCCAGTTTTTGGGACATCCTTTATAGCGATCGCCATAATTATCATAATCGTCACCATTGTCCTCGTCGTCATTAGCCTAGTTTACATCGATCGTGTATCAAGTATTATATTCGTACTAAATAGCTAATCCGGCAAACGATATATAGTACGAATATGATACGGATTTAGCATGATAAACGTACGATGCAAAGTGGGCCATTATCACCATCATTAGTAGCGGAAGTCTAAGAGAATTCATCGTGGACCTTCCCGTTTCTACATCTAAGGCGCGGCAGTGGGAAATTTCACGGTGAAATCTCACAAGCTTCCTCATCACATAATCAGTATTAACAATTATCAAGTACCATAATCGTCATCGTCATTATCGTCGTCAGCATTCTCACATCACACCGCTGTGTTACCATGTGACAGTATTTTGTCAAATTCAGTTTACCTGCCAAACGAGAGAACAAATTCTGTTACATCCAAAGAATTATACAAAATTTAAAGATAGATCTTTATTAGTAAAAAAAAAAAAAATAGAATAAACTCATATCTGTATATGTATATGATATTAGGATAGTCATGAAAAATGTAACAAGTCATGAAAAACTCTTTCCTTCATGAAATGTCTACAAACACCAGAGATTCGTTTTAATATATAAAAATTACAAATTATATTAATATATTTGTTAATATATACATATATATATAAGTTGCCTAAGGCACCAAAATATTGAGGACCCGCCAGCAGTCGTGGGTGAATTTTTGTGAGTATGAATAGGTCCGGTACTCCCCGGGATAATTGGAGAATGTTGATATTATCGCCGACCACTTTCGATTACGCGATATAAATATCTGAATGTTTATTCTATGACGCACATTATCGACTTTACCAAATTTACTATCATTCCGATATTTTCTTATATACATTTACGCATCTCTACGCCGTACGGCAATATTATGTATTTATCTATAAAACTGCGTTTCCACGACATTAACATGCGTTATTTGAATTATTTTAGCTGACATACTTTTAGCAGTAGCATAAGTGAATAGTTTTAATTTCTTTTTCTCTTCAATTTGTATAAAAATTTATTGAAGATCGATTTTAGTTGAAAAATTAAACTGGATATTTGTATCGAAAATTGTAAAGATTGTAACGAGCGAGAGATTGGCCTTTTATCAAATCGTGATTTTGAAATTTCGATAGGAAAAAAATTGAATTTGTGTTTGTCGACGAATCAAAAATTCTGTGACTCTTATGCTCTGCTACCATGTAGATATGTGATATGATAAAAAAAAAAGAATAAAATTTGGCTGCACTCATAACACCATATTCTGGTCGGAAAGTAACGATGAGTGAAAGTGTCGAGCTATTAAACGAATGAACAAAAGTGAAATCGAAGAGGTATTTTAATTGTAAATTGTCTATAATTCAAGTAGAGAATGGAGGATACGTATATAAGTACAAGTGCGAATACAAGTTGTGTTTTATTTACGACATTTTTAAGACCGAAAAGTGCGAAAGTCTTCATTTCGTTATTAAAACATTTATGTCTAACGACGAGATTCACAATATTGACCGAATCATAGTTCATTGTAATTGTAATGTGGAACTTCTTTGGGCTTCTCGAGACCTCTTGTAATTTCTTCTTATTCATGAAATACTGTGAAATACCAATAATTAGCAAATAAATCTTTTCTTCTGATTGCCAATGTACTGGATGAACCTGTGTATTTCTTACACTTGTGTTTCTCATTCCGATATATTATTATGACATTGTCTCAAGTATTTCGAATTGTTCATAGTATACTTTACTCGGTGTTTATTAAGAAAATATGAAAAATTAATATATAAATAATAAGAAACAAGCTGCATTTTATTCCTTTATGAATGTTTTAATTATTTAAGATATTGTTTTCTATATTAGAAACTGTATTAAGTAAATTTTTGCAATTAATTTTTTATCTCAATTATATGTTATGCATATCAAAATATTTCAAATTTTATTCTTACGTTTTTAAATTACTGTAAGTAATAAAAATCTGAAGCTATTTAAAAAGTTAAATATTTTTTAATGCAAAATTGTAATACATAGATTTATTTTTTAAAAATTAATTAAAATAAAACTATAAGTTCTGTGTACAAGCAATATAAAAGTATTAGTGTGCAAAAAAGTTGTTATAAATTTATATAAACAATTTAAAAATTAAATGCATTTTTAAAACGTGCCGGCCGTTAGTTGTGACGTCAGAATGCAATAGAATCTGTGCAAAATTCATGGTATAGTTCATGGCAAACCTCTAGTGTACGTAACGTGAACTATTAGATTTTCAGTACTGGCAATATTGAAACGCAGCCGTAAAGAGAAATAATATATATTTAGACATTGGAAAGAGAGAGAGAGAAAAGGAACATTGAAAGAAAATACTAATTTAAAGGGTTGCAAACCTGATTGCAATGTTATTAGCTATTTGAATTCTAGCTATTCTAACAGTTAATAGAAACTAAGGAGGCTGCGATTATATGCATAGTGACTGTAGTCGCGTTTGTTGCGCTCGTAAAAATTTCTAATTGACTTCTAGACAGTTAATTATTATTTGACAATAAGATAACTCGAAGAAGTATAGAATAAGGTAATTTTCACCGTCATTACAGCAATTTTTTTATTCTTATTTAAAGTTTTTGTCATGATTTTTTAACCGCTATTTATAAATCTATTTCTACGATTGCAATCTGTTGTTCATCAGATGTCCCAGCTACTTGATTTGATATCGCGTGACCGTGGAGGTAAACTAGCTCTTTGTTGGCACGCTGCAACAATAAATGAAAAATTATTTAAAAATTTCTACGGCTCTGCCCATGTACAAAAGATAAACATCACAGAAATATGGTAATATTATTTTATTTTATAAGTATTTTACAATATCTAATTTTTTATCAAATAATTTATCAGCGACGAGATATTGAAGGAAATAAAAAACAAACCTCCAACATTGAACTTGCGAATGGTGTCGCAGTTGATGTACGGTGTAATAAAAATTTACAAATATCAAATTATGAAATATGAGAGTAAGTCTGGTTTAATATTTATTTTATTCTATTTCCGTTAAACAATTTGTAATTCGAGATGGAACATAAAATTATAATTAAATTTAAATTATTTAAATTTAATTTATAATTATAATTTCATATAATTTAAAATAGAAAACTCTTCTCTTAAATTTAAATTATAATTATTATAATTCCATATCTCAAATTCTGTGACAAGTTATAGATAATTTAAATCAATTTCGAGTCAATCTTTCTCTAGTGAGTGAATCGAAGCATCGATAGTTTTCAAATTATAAGCAATTAAAAAAAAAGGATTTTTGCAAACTAAATTGCAAGAAGACAAATAGATAACAAAAACACACGCTTCAGTTAATTTTAAATAAACTTTAATAGAATCTCAATTTGAAGCTTACAAAGATATGTGATATTTAAAAATGGAAAGTTACAATAAGCAATAAATTTTTCAACATTTTTACTGATTTTTACTTTAGTCTATCATTTGTAATTTCATTATTTTTTAGAAGATATTTTTGAACTTCGGAAAATACTCTACCCAAGAAAAGAAACCGATGCGGTTCCAATTCCCGACATAATAGACGTGCATTTACCAGATGAAAGCTATCTTATTGCCGAACTGGGTAATAAAAAAGACTTGCACCTTCTTCCAGAGGAAGATTTTAAGTTGAGAGAGAAAACGTTTGTAAGTAGACCTTATATTAAGCTAAAAAAATTAGATAACCGCATATTAAAAATTATATTACCGTCCTTGCATCTTTCCTCGTACGTTTCCTAATATCAGATCCTGAGTGTTTTTTTTTATTTACGCAGATGGAAATCATAAATTTTGGTGAATTAACTAATAAGGAGATGGAGGGATTTGATAGGGAAGAATGGATATTGTTAGTTCCCAATTCCTGTTACTTCCTTAAACCGTATCTTCCTTATACTGTAACAACTTCCTAATACCAGTATAAATCAAATATCCTTTGCATGTGCATTCTGCGCGCTTATTACTCTTGGTTTTACTTTGCTTTTATAAAAAATTAACTTATATCATATATTATAATATTAAAAATAATGTTTTAATGGTTTGATATACAGTGAAGCAATGCGGATCAGAGATTCTGACAGGAGAAACGATGGCAAAACATGGCAAGATGATACATGGCATACAGAGATAAATGACACAGAAATCGCAGAAGGTAAGAGTTTGAATGAGATATATTCAACACACACGCATACACTTTGTTGTGTCACATTTTTAAATGAAATTTAATTTGATAAACAGAAGTTCATCGAGAGAGACATATGTCACAGGAAATTGGCTCTCCCTTTCGCACAGTTTCGCTTGTGAACGCAGAGGAGAGAAGAGAAAGATTGCTTTTAACTCCACAAAAACGACCGTCGCATCATGCACGGGTGGAGACACCTAAAAAAATAAGACGTGTATGTGTTAGTTTATGATTGACTTTGCAGATTTTGAGTTAATAGATTGGAAATAGAGAGCTCAAGACTGTTGAAAAGTTCATGTTTTTTTTTATTTGGCTGACCATTACGTAATTTTTTTATATTTGCATAATCTTTAATTCTAATTTTTATTTAACTTTCTTCTCTATATATTATTTTGCAGTTATCCCTTGGAACTGCCATAGCAACAGATATTGTTCCTCTGGAGAATGTAACAGCACCTGAATTAACTATAAGTGAAGCTCCAGTTTTACCATTGCCTGCGGAAGAAATAGAAGTACCAGAGAACATGGAACTCGAAAGCTTGGAAAACGAAGAAGACGACCACAGAATCAGAAGACGAAGATCAAAGAAGTTTATCATCGATAAAAGAATGATTTTGAAAAGCGATGTACTTAGAAAGTGGCAACAGAATACAAAGATTTATTGTGTGGTAGATATTTTTAAATTATTTAAGAAAACTTGAAAGTGCTGAAATCTAAGAAACTACCATTTAAAATATTTCTGCAGATCCAAGCGACATTTCTTAATGAATTTTATAAGGACTTTCGATTTTTTTGTAGGATATACGCTATATGATACAGAAGCCAAATCAGATCAGATCAAATGTGAAGGATCTATTCGAACAACCTGCAAGACGATGGGGTGCCAGTTTAAAACAACTTTTCGATAATCATATAACTGGACCTTTTATGAGGGAAACCGAGGATTTTACACTTGAAGCTGTACAAGGTAGATCCGTATTCAAACATTTGTTAAATATTTATGTTAACGTATAACATTGCAAATGGACTAACAGTTTTATTTTTAATTTAAGAAGGACCCGAGCAAATGATTATGACTTCTTTTATGCAAAGATCAAAAAGTGTGCTTGAGCAGTCCTCAATTGTCGCTGACAAGTCTACTCACAACACCTTAAACATTCAACCAACGACGATGAATGATATAATTCAAGAAGCTGAAGAGGCACCAATGATACCATTAGCAGAATCGATTCCGCATATAACTATTTTAGAAGACAATATCAAGTAAGAAATCTGATCTATTGATCAACAATCTCTAAATTGTTTAATTAAAAAAAAAATTTTTTTCGGAATATCTTTTAAACTTTTCAATATCTTCTCACAATGTCTTCCAAATTCTTTTAATATCTCGATATCTTTTCCACATCTAAATTTCGCAATATATCTGCTTATATTATTTCAGCATTGAACTTCATCAGCATCAAGAAAAAACGGACGCAAGTCGCGAAACTGTCCTACTGAATACAGAAACAGTGACAACAGAAACACAATGTCTGACAACAGAAGACCGCATTTTGGAATCTTCTATCCCGTACATTTTTTCTTCTGTTTAAAAAAATAGCTTGATGTAACAACATTCTAAGTCATACCTTTTAATTTTCATAGATGAATATTTGAAAAAAGATCAACTCTTCATCGAGAGTTTGAGTTCGGAAAAGAAAAACAAATTTTCTCCGCTTATCTCATGAGCCTCGCTGAATTTCTAAAGTTTAGCATGTTGTTAGCTCGAGCCTGTCACAATTACGAGATAACTATTTAATGTATAAAAAATTATTGTTTTCTTTATTATTAGTTCACAACATGTACAATTAACATTGGACGAGATTTTGGCCATAGTGGAGAAGAAAACGCAAAAGACAGAAATCATCAAATTCGAACAGCTCATACCAACCAAGAAGTATTCAAAACAAGAAGCCGCTAATGCTTTCTACTTACTTCTGGGTAAGTGTTTCCTCGTTTGCAATGTCTTCGAAAAAATAATAATCAATTTTATTGACATAAATTTCATAAATGGATTACTTGCACTACAGTGGCCCATGCGCAAGGAAAGATTGTTCTACAACAGGAGACTTGTTTTCGCCCTCTGTGGATTCGCAAATGTCTGGTATACTCTGATTCCAACTAAAGATTAAAAAATTATATTGTATTAATTAATTGTTAATACAAATATTAATATTAATTATTTATGCTTTCGGCATTGCAGCTTTGTATTAAGATTATTCTTAATAGTAGGTCTTTTTATGTTCAATGTTTAATGGAAATATGTTAAGTTTTATATCGATTTTCTTTTTCATAAATATTTATTTTAACAAGTTGCTTTTGATTAGCAAGTTAGCAATAATCTTTATATTAAAGATTTCAATATTTTTGCATAGAAAAGAGTAAAATACGCGCTATTCGCATCGTACATTGATTATTAATTAATTTAATTTAATTTAATTTAAAATATATAAATAAATGTTTAGAGATATAATTATCTAGTATGTTACAAATTGTTCATATTTCTTACGGAAATTTTGATATTTAAATTAGAAAAAAAAATGAGATACTACTTTGTTCTGTGTTTTGTATATACATAAAATTATAAATATTTGTACAAGTACCTATTTATGTATTACGTTATTTATAATAGGCATTTAAAGTATTCAATTCGAATAGCTGAAAGAGAATAAACAAGATTTGAAAAGAATCTTTTTTTAAAAATATGTAAAATTGTATCTCGCGCATTTATTATTTATATTAAATGCAGTATTAACTTTCGATATTACGAATCAAAGTGTAAAATAACAAATAAACTTATTTTATTATATTGTGCAGTTTTTATCAGCCTGATTTTACTGAGTTTATTTTCGATTTGAAAATTATCTAAATCTTTATCTTAGTTTCGAAGCAGTAATTTGGATCTCTTGTTTTTTCTCATTTTTTCTCAGATTAATAAGTAACAAATATTCATTTGTTTTTTATATAATGTTTTGTACATACAATTTTATAGTGAAAGCGTTTTGCAAGATAGCTTTTTGCGACTAAAATTATTAAAAATTGGTGAATTAGTTGCAAATTTGAATCTAATAAATTTTAATTTATCTAATTTTAATTAATCTAATTTTACGCTTTTTAGAGAAGGGGCAATTAATCGATCAGCTATTCATTTATTTCAACTTTTTGCAGGATAATCTTGTGTGAAGGTACTTGTAGAATCGGAAAAAATTTTGAAATGTAAGATAAATAGCAAAAATTATTTATACAAGGATTCAATGATCTGGATTTTCAAGATGTGGTCCGATGCAGCTTCTGTGACTCGTCCTCGCTTATTAAAGATGCAAATGCAGCATGAAAGAATGTAAGTCTAAAGCTCTTATCTTTCTTATTTAGCTTTAATTGTCTTATCCTTTAAAATCAAAATTTAAAACAACGCACATGTTACTATGAGCGACATTGGTTAAAGTATCGGAAATACAAATTAAATAACAAGAGCTATTCATAATAGTTATTTAAAAATAAAAAGTATGAATATAAAAACGTGAAAAAAACGTGAAAAATGATGACGAATTCCTAAATTCGAGAAAGGCAGAAATGAAGACACTCACGTGCGACTCCCGTCTTCGTTGCAGTCATTAAAAATCTTTTATTTGTTTTCAAAGAGAATCCGTTCGCCCGTCACAATTACAAAACATCTTCCACGGCAGGCGCAGCGTCCGGAATCACGTCGCACATCGACGGGACGATGCTCGACGGGATCCCGGAGCGGCTTAATGTTTAAGAATCACTATACTCCGTCAGACACGGCTGTATACATGTGACATACAAGTGTTATGCTTACACGCTATATTTATGTATATGTTTATATATATAAGATATACATACTTTTTTTTGTGTTTATTGGTAGCTGTGTTCTCTCTTCTCAGCCCTTTGACAAAATACGTAATATAGTAAAATATATTAAAAAAACCGCTAATTACGTAGGCCGAAGTGACGCGGTGTCATACATGCAAACATCTGTGTCTTGTCGGTTTCAAGTCAATCCTTTTTCTTCCTTTTCCGTAAATAACGCATCAAACGCCTGAACGGAGAATAATTCGCCCCAATGGCGCAAATCTGCTTTGTCCATAAAAGCTTAAGAAAGTTAATCTTAAAGTCCAGAGAAATATATCTAGATTAATTTTCTCAAGTTCTTAAAAGTAAGTAAGACAACTGCTGGGAATGAATTCTTTGCACTTGATAAGAAATACGTACAGCATTAGAAACGTTTAATGCTTGAAGCTAGCTAAGCTTAGCAAATTCAGATCCAAAAAAGACGTGCTAATTTTTTCTCGAATCAGCACTTATGGCGCAATCTGAATGCGATACTTGAGTTTAGCCAGAAAGTTGTCTTCAAGTGTCAAAGCGTTTCGGATGTCATAGCTTATCTCTCTCTCTCTTGCTTGAGAATTCTAAATGCATTATCTTCTTTCATTTCTTTTTTTTTGCCAATCGTCGCTTTCTTGAAACGTTGGTTGCATCGACGCCACCGCGAGACCTCGTAGAAAATCACTCATCACAATCTGATTTATCTTTTATTTTTCTCTCCATGCATACGTGCACGTCGCTCCGCGGCGGCGATTTCCCAACTCCTTTCCAACTCGTAAATCGTTTTAATCACAGTATTTTTACAGCAAACCATCGGAGGCTTGAGAGATCGTTTCGTTTTGGGAAAACGAAGTGCACAAGGTGTCCCAGAACCGTCTAAATTAACGGAGAAACGAAGTTTCGCTTTATCTATTTACACTATCCAAGTTCACCGGAACCCCTTGATCCGCAAAGTCGAATAAATCCGTAAAAAATCGAATCGCAGAAATTCGTTAACGCGACTTGAAGCGGCTTTGCGCGAGTCATCGGATTAGGAAATCGCCGTCGCTGTATCGCGAATGTCTCGTAAACATACAAGGAATATCGATCACCATCAATCGTCGCCGAGCGCCGGTCGTGAATTGCGGGACGACCGTCCCCGATTGTTTCTTCGCAATTCGTGCGACCGGTCATCAATCGGCTCACAATCACAGCACTTCGCTCACGATCAATCTTCTCCCTCGGAGATCACATTTACAGACGCATATCACGCGCGACAGGGAACAAAAATTCACGATACAAAGGTGCTCTGCGTCTACGTCGGCAGAAGTACAATTAGCGATCTACAGCTATATGTATATATACGTACATATATATATATATATATATATTTATATATTTTTTTCTTATTTATTCATTTTTATTCCGTTTAGAGTGTTGCGACTTAGATCGGAAATTAGAGTGGCGCCGAGGACGATGAAATCGATGAAAGTTAGTCTCGTGGAATGTTTTTTCGCGGTCTTCCTATCTCTCTTCCTTTCGCTTTCGTTGGTATAAATCGTATCGAAGGACAGCACGGTGGGAAAATGTGGCAAATGTCAAAATTCAGTCAAAATTCTGATGCGGCGGCGGGATTGCATTGTGGAGAGAAAATTGGGTTTTCGCGGCAAGTGTCCCGGCAAATGTGAGGAATTCACGCAGGAACTCGGTACAGGCGAGTTTAGAAACTCTCTAATCACGATTGTTATAAGCATCTTCGCCCTCTTCTTCATATCGACTTGTAGACGTCTTCTATAAGATTTAAATTAAGACGTTCTACGAGAAAAGATTCAATATTAAAACTATTTTTTAGTAATTAAGCTTTAAAGTCAAAAAACACAGCATTGATAACAATCGAACTTCCATAATATCGTCTTATGGAAAATTAACGTCTTATCGAATATAGAATGCCCAATGTAATGCAATAGAGAATGCGACTTCTACTCAATTAAAATCTCTAAGTGATAACAATTGAATTGCTATTAAATTTCCATTTAAACGTTTACCGAGAAGAACTCGGTTCGCCGAGGGTTTTCTTAATCGTCAATGTTATATAATTGAGCTTCCTAATGAAATTTCACGGAGAGAAAATGTTGCGTCGAAATGTCTTGGAGTGAAATATTTCTCAGCAATGAGCAGACACCCTGTATATTCAATCTACACTTTGTAGATTTAATTTCTTCGAGAACTCGCACATCTTCGATAAGTGTAATTCTTTCCTTCCGTTGCAGGGATAAAACGCATTGCCAGAAGAAACAAACCACAACATGCGGGATATGCAAATTGCAAGATCTCGAATCTTCGCTTGCAGCTGTTTCTCGGATTCGGAACGAGTCGGCACAGTTCGTGCTCATCGAGCACTCCTATTTTTTGTTAATTACACTGTTAATTGGGAAATGCTAAAGGCACCTAAATGTCTGCTGTTTTGCGCCGCGCATTGACGATTAAACAATAAATACATAAGCGCGTTCGAGTTCACTCTCGTCGGTTCGCGCAATCGAGATCAAACTCTGACGACAGAGTTTCCCCGCTTTGCCAGACTTTCTTTTCCGACTTTTCGCTCGTGATTCACTGAGAAACGAAATTTTGTAAGATGGCAAAATTTCAAGCGGACAAATCCGAGGAAACTCTGCGTATGCGAGAGTGTGTTATACATATATTGGTCATCAGACGTAACAGCAACGTGGATCGACCCGAGAACGTCACACGAGACAGTTGTTCACGCGTGTTACAGTCGATCGATTACAATAATTCGCCGCTCCGTTCAACATCAAGGGATGGCGATCGACTCTCGAGACTCGATTACGCGAAAATTTCCACACCTCCTGATTGAACAGTTCACCCTCTCTTTCTCGAACAAAATACTGCGATACGTTATTTCTAGAGTTTGAGATAAAATTTACGCTCGCTCATTGTGCAAGCTACCGATCTCGATCTTATGAAATCCTACGATTTAATGCCGAAGTATCAAATTTAAAAAGAGAAAAAAATGATAGCAGTCTAAATTGTTTTTTTCGCAGATTCCTTTTCTCAACAGAGAGATGCTTGTGTTCGCATCCCTGTTTTCTCGAAAGCTCATCCGTGCGATTATCCCATCGCGAGATTGTAATATAAAATTGTCTATCGTAAAAATCGTGATGTAAGTATCGTTAGGTAGACAAATAGGTAAAGCTTGAGTCGGGACTCTCAATCGACCCTCGAGAGTGTGTCGGGAGGATAAAACGCCTTACATATGTATAAATTATCATTATCAATTGTGATTACTGTGTACTATCGCGCGTCGCACATCGGAGCCCGCGGACTCGCCCTGCCTATCTTTCGCCGCAGAGAACGAACACTGTCGATCTTCTCGCGACGACGCCCGTCCGAAAAGTAAGAGGTAGAAAAATATACGTGTGCACGCGCCGCGCGCCCATTTGATTTGGTG